CCCTTCAAAAGACGATTCTGAATGGGGGTCAACGCTAGTTTAAGATTCCGTGAAGGGCGACCAACAGTAGAAGATATTGAGACCATCAATATGACGCCTGCGTGGTTGGGCCAACCCATGTTCCACCAGAGATACATTCAAGTTGACTACTTTTCTGAATCGAGATCGAGAAGCCATTAACTCAGCTATCTTCGAAGAATTTTGCGGGAAGAACAAACCTGTGATGATTCCGTGCTGATGATCAGTACTATTTTCATGACGATCTTCAATGGCCAATCAAGCAGGGAACCTGTGTTCCTGTTAAGAGCAATTCGGTTTTAAAGCAATTTCTTTTCAACATGTGGAGTAGACTCGTTAAAACCCGGGTCGAACTCACGAAAACGTGTTGACCTGCTTTGAAGTTATATAAAGGGTGTCCTGTAATGTTTACAGAGAACACGTAATGTTCCGAATGGAAGAAGCCAATGGATCTCGGCTTTTGTGAGAAAGGTGAATGTGAGGGTTGTTGCACCCCCATGATTATATCAACTCGAACACGGCTGCAAGATTCTGGCTTTTTTCTCATGGTCAGTCAAATCTATCCTTGTGAACATGAAATGGAGACTATTATTCCACGTACTTTTTATTTAACGGAGCAAGACTACACTTTCAGCTACCAGATGTTCTATGACGGAGAAGTGGTACACACAAGATGAAAGGGTAAGCAGTTCCCGAGTTATCAGAAATTCTGCGACAATTGGACACAAATTACAGGGATAATACTGCAGTGTGGTTATTGGTACATTCATGGGATACTGTCAAAACTGGGCTACGTGGTGTTATCAAGGTGCGAACCATGAGTGGTTTTGTCTTATTGAAGAAGCTGGATTGGATCCAAAGAACTTTGCCATGCACAACGATGAAGAACAGCTTGCAAATTAAGGATACTATTGGGGTTTCTGTCCGGAAGAAGATCAAAACGATGAAATGTCCAGCAGAAAGTTCATTGTTATAAGTATAAACGGTAGGATATAGGGTAAAATAATCTATATATAAAAACCTTTATTACTTACAACTACCTTTCTGAGATTCGCATTGCAACTCGTACGTCATTCAATGTCAGTCATGGAAAAAAGATCAAAGCGTCCATTCAAATCACAGAGCGACCCCGAAAAATTAGGAGACCAACTTTTAAAATGTGAAGAACGCAAGGCGACTTTCATTGCATGTACATGCGTTGACTGTATCCGTCAATACAATACTAGTCGAATACGTAGACTTCTACAGGGCCTTCTAAGTAATGCGCGCCGGGTATAATTCAAACCTCTGCCCCCATCGGTACCATTACCCCTAAAGCAAATCGTCTCCAGGAGACGAAATAGGGCAAAAGTGCCTCCGTCGTCAGGGTGTTGTCTTGGCCACAGTGTTCCTCCTCGTTGAACAAGGGGCGAGAGCAACTCTTGGCAAAGATAAACAGTGCCACCGTTGCAGCAGCCACATAAATCGGTGATTCTGGGAACAACACAGCAGCTGCCGCCGACGGAACCACCAGCGCAATGGATGCTCTGATCAGACTCATTCTCGATATGTGATCTTTGATCTTCGCTGGATCTTTGAGTGTTCCGGGAGGAAACTGGATATCTGACGTCATAAAAGGGTCTCATCTTTCGCTTTGGCAAACCCACACTCACAACGAGAAACGTGCGCTCCCTCCAACGACGACAACCAGCCAGCATCCTTCCGCTTCGGTACATTCATTACAAATCCAACTTGTTGGACAGATAGAAGCGTGTTTAGAGGAGAGTGCAGCATGATAGCAGCTCAACAAGTACACGAGCCCCCGAAAGACAACATGGCGGACTCACCCCAAGTCGAGGAAAGCGAGAAAGCAGAGGGTAGCGTACCCCGCGAATCTGCAAGCTCTCCGGTTGCTCCTGATCCAGCCCCACGGAAAACTTGGGCAATGCCAAAAGCGCCACCAAAGGTGGAGGGCACAGATCCTGCCAAGAAGAAATCTCTCTTGGAGATCATGGAAGAAGAACGCAACAAAGAGCAAGAGACAAAGGTGACCGAGCAAAGGAAATTTGTACAACGGCTCGAACAGGAGGAAGAAGCAGCTTTGCTAAAGGCGATGCAAGCTTCCATGGCGACTGGCGAAAGCGGTCAGGAAGATGACATGGATGAAGACCTCAAAATGGCATTGATGATTTCCATGCAAGATCAGGCACAAAGTCACGGCAAGATGCCACCGTCGACCCCCTCGGCGGCAGTAGCATATTTTCCAGCCACGGCACAAGTGCCTCCGGCCGCCGCCGCCGCTGCTGCAGTTTCCAACGACGGTGGGTTGACAGAGGAGGAAATGAAGGAAATTGAACGGGCTCTCCAGGACGCCGATGCTGCTGAAAATTCCACGGTAGACGCCGCATCATTAAAGCTGGCTCTAGAGTTGCAAAGTGAAGAGGATGGGAAGATAAGGGCCGCTCAAAAGAGACCAGCGCATCAAGGAAATGTTCGAACCATGAACCGAGATGAATTCTTGCGAGAACAGGGAAAAGGCGCAGATGACGATTATCATTATGACTATGATGAGGACGAAGAGGATGATTACGACTACGATGCGTCAGAGGCTGGCTTTCGAATCAACTCCACGAAACAATCACCATGGTCCCGAGCCGACGGTGCAACCATCCGAGGTCCCAACCAGGAGCTTCGGACCAAGCATGATTTGAAATTGCAGGGTCAAGCCAACGCCCAACGGTTGGACGTTCGAGCGGATGATGAAACTGGGAATAGAGCACACGTTGGCAACAAGGCATACAATGCCTTTCATCGAAGCATGCAAAAGAAAACCGTCAAGGGTGTGGCGGCGCACGGCCACGGAAGAGCCACTGCCGATACCGACAAGACACGAGATGGTGCCCTAGATGGAAGAGTCCGCTTGCAAATTGCTCGTGCCGTCAACAACGGGCTGATCGAGACATTTCATGGGTGTGTCAAGGAAGGAAAGGAAGCATTGGTCTTCCACGCAGACCAAGGGATCACCAGTGAAGGTTTTGATGTTGCTGTAAAGGTCTTCAAACGCATTTCGGAGTTCAAGAATAGGGGTGAATATGTTGGTAAGCGTTTGCTTCCTGTACTTGCTGTTTGCATTTCGTGCGAAATGGTCTTCTGACCCTTGTTCTTTCACCACAGCTTTTGACCCCAGATACGGCGACGGCCAAGATTTTCGCCATGCTGGTCAACGTCAACAACTCGAAATTTGGGCTGAAAAGGAACACCGCAACCTGATTCGGGCGTACCGATCCCATGTTCCCGTGCCAAAGCCATTGTGGCAAAAAGAGAATGTTCTCTTCTTGAGATTTCTTGGTGAGGATGGTTGGCCCGCTCCGCAGCTCCGAGAGCTGGATATCAAAAAGGGAAGCAAAAAGTGGACAGCTTTGTACGAACAAACCATGGAAGCCATGCAGCTTCTCCATTGTGACGCAAAATTGGTCCATGGTGATTTGTCCGAATACAACATCATGGTGGTCCCCAAACGATTTCTGAAACGCGCCGCAGGCGAAGCGGTGCCAGATGAAGGCGACGAGGACACCAAACCGACAGCGGATGCCGACGAGCAAAAGCCAGCAGCCGAGACGAAAGGCGATCAAAAGGTTGCGGCAGCTGGCCCCAAAGACGACAATACAAATCCAGAGCCCGCCACTCTCGAGGTGAGCGAAGCCACCAACGCCGAAACCGAGACACCAAAACCTGCTCCCGCCGAAGATTCCAGCAAACCTGCGGCAGTCAAGCCTGACGATGACAACTCGTTGCATGTTGCTCTGATTGATTTTGGCCAAGCAGTAGATACAAGGCACCCGGGAGCTGAAGAGTTGCTGAAACGGGATGTTACACGTGTGCACGATTTCTTTGTAAAGATGGGCATCACCACCACCTCGGTGGAAGCGGCGTTGGCCTATGTTCAGACCAAAGGAGCTACGCTGCGTTAAAATGGCTGAAGAGTTGCCTACCAGAAAATAAACTAGAGCCGCTTTAGAATATAGAATCTGTGATGTTGACTTCTTGATTAGTTTACGCAGCAAGGCCTCGGTGTTATGTTGTGTGATTTGGATTGGATGACGGTGAAAGATCTCCGAAGGACCACCAAGAAGCCCAAGAATGTCGCAATTTCAACACAATTATGCTCAAAGGGGTCTCTTGAGCCGCAGGATGATTGAACTGTGGTCAGACCCGCAGAAATGACCTTGACGGTCCACACCATAGCCCAAGATATCGCACTCCAGTACAACTTGCGAGGTCAGAGTAGACGGCGAGAGCAAGAAATAATCCAATCGCTGTCCCTTTCCTTCGTACTTGCTTGAAAATGTGTTGCCGTTATTAGACAAATGTCCCCTCCATGTCCAATTAGGTTTGTCCCATTCAGTCTTAAACGTCCGCTTCTTTGGTTCCTCACTGTCCGCTTCAATGCCATTTGGATGAAGTGTGCGCCAGACATCATCAAGATCAGCCGTCTCCAAAATATCAATGAATCGCTTGCGTTCGTTTGTTGTGAAACTAGGGATGCCCTTGTCATCAGGGTGACGGGATGGATCCACTTTCTTGCCTAACCCGTTTGAAAGGCACTTTTTTTCATCTCTCCACCACTCGTAAATGCCTTTGCCCTCGCTATCGTTGCCTTTTCCGGGCTCTCTTTGCTCCCAATGGGTCCCGTCACGATATTCTTTTGCAACATTCATGTCGCCACACCTTATTAATTGTCGTGTTTGTACATGTAGATTGTGTGACCAGGTAGCAATGTAAAGCGAGAAAAAGCGAGAAAAAAAGCAAGATGAGCGTTACCATTCAACTCGTTCTTGGTCCCGCACAACAAAAAGAGCAGTACACACCAAATCAAGGGACGCTCTCCAGCACTTTTGTCAGCCGTGGACGATGCAACCTTTTTCAAAATTTTTAGTCTGTACTTCAATAATTCCTTCATGTCGCGATCCCAATCTCGTCGTCGCTGAAAGGACTCCTGCTTGGTCCCATTGTTGGGCTGATACGTGTTGATCAAGTCAAAGTTGGGAAACGAAAGGAATTGGAATCGTCCGTCAAGTTGGTGGCTAGCGAATTTCACAGAAGAACTTCCGGCGGCATTGTTTGTTTTCCCCTTGGGAGCAAAGAACGATTTCATGGAAGTTTGTTTCTTTGCAGGCTCCTTTTGTTTCTTTACTGGTGAAGCGCTCAGACCAATGTCTTCGCGCGTGAGATTATACTTCTTGAGAAGCATGGAAAGGGCAGACTGGGTTGTGAATGCGACGTCATTGCTGTTATGCTGGACGCGCTTGTGGACGAAAGTCAGTGTACCCGAGTATTTTCGGTCGGCAAGTGACCAATGCTTTTGGTATTTGTGAAAGATGGTCGACTCCATGGTATCCTCGACCAACTTGTAGTCGGTGGTATGTGGTGTTCCTTGGTCACCGGAGTTGAGGGCCTTGATCCGCACTTCTTGGATACACATGACATCAGGGTCTGTCTCGTGAACCATCTTGGCGAGTTCGCGATTGTTGTGGACACAGCGCGACACCAGACCATTGGCGTTCCATGAGAGAAAGGTGGTTGGACCTGACCCCTTCTGGCGCTTCAAGGGTGGGCCTTCATCGTCGCTACCGTCGCTGCTGCTCATGGTGTGATCGTGTGTTTACTAGATTTGTTGTTGTGTTGGCTGCTCGCTGCATAATCCGCGGCTCTTCGGTCTTTGGGCTTCGAAAATGAAGCCAGCATAGCTGCATTTACATACGGTACTTTCCAGAAAGCATTCTTCCGACATGCTCACTGTACTAGTATACGGTAGCGTACGATGTACTTCGACAACTCCTTAGCATCAATGTTGAGTTCTCAGTTCTGTGTTCAGAGGGCTGTTCAGAGTGTTTGTTATCCTGAATACTTGTTTCCATTTTTTTAATAGGGCACCAGACAGATGAGCAGCGGTGAGGGGTCAACAAAAGATGGTATTCATTGTCCACAGCGACTCCGGCGAGACAGCTCTGTTTGCAGTGATGGGGCGGACTTTGGAAGTACATGTACGCTACGGTACCAATGCTGGCCAATCAAAGCCAAGTCTACTTGCTGACTTCCTTCTTTCTGGTTCAAGGAAGCTCTCGGCTATTTGTGTTGTGAGCAGAATACTGTAGAAAGGAGAGAATAAATACCTTACATATTCTACACGATGATGGGTTGGACCGGTGTAAGAGCAAAGATCTTGCAATAGTGGCATGAAGTTACTGACATCGGCATTGACGTCATCACTTTGGGTTGATGGTAGCAGCCGCTCTCTCAGCCCATCCGACCATCGCACCACAGCGTAGAGATCTAGTAGAGCTACGAGTAGGTAGAAAACCTTTCCGCTAGCCAGCTGGATAGAGCTTCCTCCAACCATGCCATCACCGCCTGTACCCATTGGATATCCAAGAAGAGGATGGGTGCTTTGTTGTTGTCTTTTGCAGTTGACTTCATCGGCGGGAGCTTGGGTGAATCATATTGTACCCACTCATAATGCCATCGTGCCGAACCTGCCCCAATCATTCAGGCAACGGCCAAGTTTCACATGGCAATTGGTCTCTTCCTGTGCAACTGCCAGCACTACCGATACCGGCAGCGAAGATACTGCTTCAGCCGTCGATGATGATTTCAAGCCATCCTTTTATGACACCAAGGAAGTGAACAAATGGGGCAAGCCAGTCTGGAAGGAAAGAAAACAGCTCTCGGAGGTCCAACTTGGTGAGAGACTGGAAGGATACGTTGTACAGACATATTTAGAAGGTGCCACTGGTCCCAAGGTATATTTGGAATGTGGAGTGGGACGCTACAATCCACAACGGAAAACCTGGAAAATGGTCAATGCCATGCTGCGGCTTGGACGAAAAGGGGCCAAAGAATCCGTGACCCGAAAACGATTAGCTCGATTACGAAACAAAAAGAATTTTGAATGCTTTGTTTCTCGGGTGCTACTGGATAATGGGCATTTAGAAGTCGTGTTGAATGAATACGATGTCCCCGAAAGCCAGAACGATCCCGTCAGCGTGTCATCCCTGAAACCAGGCCAAGAATTGGTTGGGACCGTTCAACGAGTGGTCCCGTATGGAGTATTCGTGGATGTAGGAGCAAACCGTCCGGGGTTGTTGCACATTCAAAAAGTTGCTGATCTCTACGGCGTGTACATTGACAAGGATAAAGGGCTGGAAGAAGCAGGCCTCGAGAGAGGGGCCAAAATTAAAGTACGAGTTGACACCAATGAAAAGAAGCGCCTCTTTCTGGATTTTACAGCAGATGTCAAAGAGGAGGCTGCACGAGAACGACAAGAGAAGGAGAAGCAAAAGAAAGCACGGAAGAGCAGCGAAACTACAACATCCTCACCGGTGGGGGCAGTGGCGTCAGCTGGATCAGCGGCTGGGACCGTAACCTCGACGGTTGCTACGAACAACGACAGCCAGGACTCAAAAGAGGAGGAAGATCCTTGGGCTGCCTATGCATCAGTGTACGAAGACGACAATGGCAGCGGAGATGATGACGATTACGACGACTACGACGAGGACCGTGATATTGAAGATTCCCTTGGTCTTGGAACATACTAACTTCTCATATCATACATTTCGTTGCTAGCTAGCTTGCCAGTGTTGTATTCGTGCGGTACACGGAAGCAGAATGGAAATGCAGCGGCGTGTCGTACAGATCCAGCCGTAAGGTCCCTTTTTCGATTCCCGTACCGGTATCGTATCTATGGAAACGTTCTTCGCAGCTGGCACCATGCAGTGGCTATGACCGATTTGGGCCTCTTCGTCCCGCACAGCGTCCCTCGCAAAAGCTAATTAGCTGCTGGCTATGCCGCACGAAGAATTGACATTGGATCGAGCCGAGGTGCTCCTTGTTTGACCCCCACCAGCCTGATGCTTGACTTCTTTCAAGTTGGGCCAGGAGATGGCATTGAGTCGAGTGAGGTTCCAGGTGTTGATCTTGATGTTGCCCCAGGGGTCCTCTACTACCGGTAGTCAGCAGAGAGTGTGTTTACGTACGGCAAGCAGGACCTGCTGGTACGAACGCGTCGACACAGTAACGCACGGGCGAAAGACGAGCTCGAAACGCGCACTGAAGAAAGCAAAGCAAAGCCAAGCAAAGCAAACTCTGCACAATACTAGCGTTTTATTACTATTCACATTACCACTGGCTAGCTATTAGACACTTCTTCCATTGATTTAAATGCAGCGTCGTTTGGAGTCTAGCTCCTGCCAATAATGCCTCGGTGGCAGCCCTTTCTGTTCGTTTGAATCGTCCCATCTGCCCCCGTCCAAGTACAGCTTGGAACTGCTTATGTGCATCCACACGTCGTCATCTTTCGGCAGGCTTGCAAAGTGCACTCGGGCATGTTCCTCGGTGAACTCCGTAATGACCCCAGCAAAGCACTGTTCATCTTCTTCATGATTCTTACTTCCGTCGCTGTCACTGCTACTGTCCGAATCGGCCGTGGGGCCTTGTTCGTGGATTGTCACGTAGCCTGGGATCATGACCAATACCTTCGAGTTTACCACAAGCCCCTTTCGAGTCATTGGTTTGGCCAAGTGCCAACATTCCTTTTGTTCTGCCTTCTGCTTGCCCTTTCCTCGAGGTCGCTTCTTGGGCGCAGGAGGCTTTTTGTTGGCAGTTGATGTCCCTCGTCGCCCATAATCGGCTCTCTGGTGCGATGGAACGGGGGAACAGACTTCCACCCAGAAATCCTTCATACGAGGCTTCTTTTGCTGCTGTAGGTTGTTGCTGTTGTTACTTTCATCGGCTTCCTCTTCCGATTCGGATTCGGACTCCGACTCGACCGCTGGTTTCTTGTTTATATCCACTCCAGCTTGAATCAATCCCCATTCGCGATACGTTTTGCGCCGGCGGCTGGTTTTTCGCTTGTTTGCCTTGTGAAATTTTGCCAAAAGTTTTTCCAGGCGGAACATGTCAATTCGAACGCTATCCGGTCGACAGTTGCAGATGCGAGCTTCGTGACCAAAGGGTACCCATTCAGGGACCCCAAAGTTGGTTGCTTCTGCCACATTGAAACCGGTATTGAATCCAAAGTGATACCCTCCCGGCATGGTGATCATGGCATCTCCAGGATACTGGACTTGCATAGTGAATTTGATCCCAGCCTTTTTGAGAATCATGGGACTGAGGAGGCATCTCTTGTGTCGGAGGAATTGTCGGCAATCATTGTAAGCGTGAGAAAAGTAGTGTTCCGACAAGGCTTCGAGGCGCTTTGCTTCAGTACCTGGAGCCACGGCATACCAGACTTTTGGAGCTCCCGCGTGTAGATAGTTGATACTCAAAAGGTTCATGTCTTCCGTGTGGACCGCAAAGACGGATGCCCACATTCCCATGTACAAGTAGGGCGACGTCACTCCTGGCAAGTAGGGTCCCAAGAGTTGCAAAAAGCTATCCAATCTGCTCAGGTTCCACCCATTGGCTGGGTCTTCGCCAAACAGGGACCCTTCCATATCGGCCCCATAGGTTGCCGGTGGCATGGTGGGACCCAATCGTTTCCAGAACTTGCGTTCGAGCTCCTCAATGGAAGGCTCTTTGGTTGCCTCTTCTTCCTTCTTTTCCTCGTTGTCGTTGCTGTTACTATTATTGTTGTTGTTTTGTGGTGGAGTCTCTACTACCTCTGGTTCTTTGGCTTCCTCAGCTTCCTTCTTTTCCTCTTCTTCCTTTAACTGATTTCGACGATTGGCTCTCTCCTCCCTGACCGTTGGCTTGGCCGCTTGTTTCTTTCGTTTCTTTTTGGGCGCGGGTGTCGTTTTGACTCCCCGTGATGACTTTCCCGTCAACTGCTCTTGCTGATAGGCATCGGCCAAATCTCGAAAGTCATGTAGGGCAATCGGTGGTTGATCCAACAAGGTGTATTCGTAGACGCCTCCAATTCCTCGGACACACTGTTTGATGGGATTGGGAATGACAAGGTCACCCAATGGTGTTCCCTTTTGCCAGGCAGGTCCTCGTCCCGTTCGGTCTTGTCCAATCCCTTCTTCTTTCCAGAATCCACGAGGCAGCGTGACCTTGGCCATTCCTTCCGCGTACAGCGGGCATTTGGACGGAAAGCCTTGACGTGCCATCTGAATGTCTTCAATGTAGCGGATCTTTTCCACATTGTTACCATCAGGGGATGTGTTGTTGTTATTGTTATCGCCAGTGGTGGTGGTGTGGTTTGTCGCTGGGTGTCGTCGTCGTTGCTCGTCGACATAGGCCACACGGGCTCCTTCCAATACGACCTGTCGCACGTACTCGGAAAAGCTGTGCTGTTGCAGTTCTTCCAGTGTGGGCGTGTGTGCCTTGCAAGCGCGGGGATACAAGCACCTGCGGTTCGCATAGTGCTCTCCGTCCTTGACATCTCGTCGTTGCGATCGAGACGCTGACGGGGAAACAGGAACGACTGGTGGATTGGGAGTAGCGACAGCAGCAGCAGCAGTAGTCGTTGCCGTAGAAGCATCCGTGGAAGGATGAGTTGGGGACATAGACTCGGACTCGGAGACAGTAGCAGCGGACGCAGCAATATCGACCGTAGGAGAGGGTAGAGAGGCATCCATGCTGGAAGGCAATGGTGATGGTAGTTCAGCGGGGACTAACGACGACATGGTGGTTGTTAGGTTGTAGTATGTGCTGATATTGTATGATGGGAAAAAGTAGTGCACACGCACGAATGGCTCCGAAGAAAGTAAAAGTCTCTTCGAAGAGCCTCTTTCTCGATAGTACCGGTACCGCGAACAAAGGGATAGATAGCTACTGTAGCCTTGATCCAACCAAACCAACAAACCTCAACCTAGCTAGACAGCAGTCAACTCCTTCCAACAACAAACAACTAAGAAGAACTGCGTCAACCAACTCGATCCTCCACACTTCCAGCTGTACAGTATCTTCTGTTGTTGTCGAGTGTGTGGCCACGCTGCGTGGCTCTCAACAGCGTTGAGAAAACTTGCATGCATCCAACCAGCTGTCAGCTTGGCATCGATGATGGTGGTCGAAACACGAAGTTTCTTGATCCCAAGTTCGGGTTGTCTGCGTTGAGTACCGCTCGAAGTTGTTTTGTTAAATCCATAGATTCTCAACGCCAGTTCTCATACTGACGTCAGTCATCTCATTCTTCTTTAATAAAAGCCATTAGAGCTACTAATTAAATGCTGACAGGCCCTGGCAGGCAGTGGTGTTTGGCGATCTTTGAAGGATCTTTGAAGGATCCGAAGTGTTCTTTTGAAGCCTTATTCTCCCGCCAATGGCCAATCGACGGAAGATATCGTTGTCTGAAAGGAAGACATCATCATGATGATGGCCCCATCATCGAATAACCACTGGTACTACAAACTCTTCTTGTTCTTGTTATCCAGCCATATCCCTGATTGCACTGTTGCTTGGTCTCTCCCCAAAGTTGTAGTTCCTTACAAACCAATTCTACACATCAGACAGTCAATTGGTGAGGTCCAACGTGCAGCAACTTATCATCATGACCATCATCATCATCCTCCTCCAAGCCATCCTCCATCACAAAAGCAAGCAACATGGTCATTCCCCAATGGTCAACACGTGCCACAGGTGATTGCTGCAACACTAGTTGCGACGGCACTTTGGATGGGCAATCCTGTCCTGGCTGCCGATGAGGCACTCTTGAATGAATTGTCCAAAGAAGACAGTATATTGGTCGAATCTCGATCGCCACCACCCATCCAAGCGGAATCGTCCCCACAAGCCATGGCGTTGGCGAAAAAGTTGCAAACACTCCATGCCAAAATGTACGGTGCTTATTGGTGCAAATTCTGTGCCAAACAAAAAGAACTCTTTGGAAAACAGGCGTTTGACAACAATAACAATAAGAACGCGATTGAATACGTCGAATGCAGCGGGGATGGTGAAAACTCACAAGCCAAAACGCTCTGTAAAGACAAGGATATTCAAGGATATCCAGCTTGGGAGATTAATGGAAGACTTTATTCGGGACAACGATCGTTGGACGAGATGGAAGTCATGGTCCGAATGGCAGAAGCATCGGAACCGGGAAATACCAAAGGATCACCTCGCATTCTGACATCTTCCAGCAAACGTGCCATGGACATTTCGCAACAACTCGAGTCACTCCAAGGATCGCTCTTTGGATCCTACTGGGACCCACACACATTTGAGCAAAAGGAGAGATTGGGAAAAGAGGCATTTTCCAAGCTTTCCTATGTGGAGTGTGCCAAAGATGCCGACAACTCACAGCTTGATCTCTGTAAGGAAAAGCACGTTCAGGTGGTGCCGACATGGCAAATCAATGGGGAAATGTATCCAGGAGATCAAGATCTAGACGAACTGGAAGAGATCATTGCCAGTAGCAGCAAGAAGAGCAATAAGGCAACAGATGCAAGCCCAGCGCTGTTGGCATCGGCTGAAACACCCACGGATGTACAATCGCCGCCGCCACCACCAGCACAACAACAATCCAAAGCACAAGAAAAGCCGTCGCCACGAGAGATTTCCGAAACGTCCTCCAACAAAGCTTTGGCTCTGGCAATTCAGATGCAGTCTTTGGACACACGAATGTACGGTGCCTACTTTTGTGACCATTGCTACGATCAGAAACAAGCCTTTGGCAAAGAAGCCTTCTCCATTATCCCTTACGTGGAGTGCACAAAAGATGGCAAGGACTCGCAGCTTGGTCTATGCTTGGAAAAGGGCATACGCTCTGTCCCAACTTGGCAGATCGCCGGGAAGCTATATGAGGGAGAGCGAAGCATTGACCAGCTGCAAAAACTGGTTCAAGCGGAACTGGAACAATCGAAAACTGTGCAAGTTGCAAAAACTAAGGACCAGCAACAACAATCGGGCAATGCTCCTCCGCCAATTGTTGCAGTGTCATCCGCCCGTGCGTTTCAAGTTGCAGATGAAATGGAAAAGGTTCATGCCAAGCTGTATGGGGCCTACTGGTGTAGGTATACACAAGCACAGAAAGAGCGCTTTGGCCAGGAAGCCTTTGCCAAGATCAACTATGTGGAATGTAGCGAAGATGGGCTGAATTCGGCCTCGGGAGTCTGCCGCGAGAAGGGTGTAGACGGTTACCCTACATGGGAAGTCAACGGCAAGCTTTACCCCGGTGACCAAGACTTGGACGAGCTTGAAACTCTCGTTCAAGAGCAATAGTACAAGAATAAATGGAACTATTATCACGTTTTTGAGAATCAGTTACATAGCGTAGTCCAGAAAAATGACGTCGAATGGGAAGCAAAGTGACTGTCAGTCACGATACCGTAATGTTTGTACCAGAGCAGCTTGCAAGTGCTACAGCATGACGTTAATGGATCACTGAACATTCGATAATCGCTACTGCTCAATTTAATTACGGTGGTACCGGGCTCAAAGACCCAATAGCTAGCCAGCATCAAAAGTCAAATTATTCAAACATCATAGGATGGCTAGAAAAGGATCACACTTCTAGCTGCCAAACTTGAAATGCGTGCTGCTTGACTTGACCTCAATCGCCCTTCATGCATGGGGGCTTCATGCTACAAGAATTCAATCCAATGCCTCGGCACAACAAACACAGCAAGAGGTAGATTGAGTAGACTACTGTGGCACCTTCGAACCGAGGGAGAAAATGAAAGTTGTCGTTGTTGAAGTGGATGCTTGAGTCTTCCAAAGCTGCTCTCCATCCGAAATCTTAGGGTTGCTTCGGTGCAGCACTGAGCTTGCCGGCTGCCCTGTAGGCCTTGTAGCCTTTCAGAACCTTGAAGGTTGCATTTCCGACAACAGCAGCACCTCCAATCGTTCCAGCAAAGCCAATAAAAGAAACAGGCTCACCTCTTGCTTCATCCAGCCCCACGGACAAACCAATTCCTGCACACCCACTGGAAAGAGCCTGGCACATGGGGATAGCCAGGAGAATATCTGAGTGCCTCCTGACAAAGATCTTGACATACGCTGGAGCTGTGGACGCCACAATGCCTGATACCACGGTAGAAAGCCCCAGTCCAATGGCACTGGCAAAGAAGGAGGCACTCCAAGAAGCCATATAAATATCTTCCAGGAGATGTTCACTCATGCCAAAATACTTGACAAGCACTGGTTTGCGTCTTCTGCCGTCAGGTGGCGGCTTAGGGGTGGGTACGACCAGTTTTGTCGTTCGTCGGTGGACCAACACGGCTGTGCTCTCGGGAGATATGTTTTCGATGCGTTCTGTATCTTTGTAGACATCGTCAATAGGCGCCACAGAAAGGGCACTGATGCTCAAAGTGCACCAGAGAGCACCAATGATACCAAAGTTGTTGGAGAAGGCACGAAGACGAGAACTAAGCTCAACGTTCTCTGTCGAGGCCGCCAAAAGGTTGAATGGATTCGTCAAGGGAGGCTCATCTGCCATTGCCTTCTGAGGGGTAGCCTCCTTGGCAGTCGCCGTAGCACTTGGATTGACTTCGAGTGATTTTTTGGCCACTGATGGTTCCTTCTTGATTGATGAAGCAGGCAACGATGAATCCTTCAGTGGCTCTGATTCCGCTCTAACTGGTGCCCATTTCTTCTTTGGTAGTCGCTTTCGAAGCGAGCGAGGAACGAAGAAGCGGGCCTTCATGGTCAACAACTCTCGCAAAGTAGAGGAACGATACTAGCTAGTACTGGTAGTGATATACCGGTATACCAAACAAACAAGCGCCTTGCTCTACATGTACTACTAGCTAGGCCCCCCCTTCAAAAGGACAAACGCCTCAAGAAGAACTTGGACGAGGCGAGATGTTCTGAAAAGCTTAAAGGATCCACATTGAGCATTAGGGTTAGGATGCTGGACTGAGCAAGACGTGGAGCAATCTTCAGTCGAGGATACCAGTACTACTAGATCTAGGATACCACCACAACGGTGGGCAGGCTAAACAAGTCTGACCCAAGCCAATGAAGACGAAGAGTTTGTGCATCGATTCCAGGAATTCAAAGTTCTCTGAGCCAAACCTCTTCTCACAATACGCAAAGCAAAACAAAGCAAATCAAGCTAGCAAGCTCAGAAAGCACAGCCAACACCATACCATCAGCATTATTTATAAAGCCAAGAAAAATCAAATATCATGTCGCTGTTCAGCTCCTCTGTCGTCCTTGTTATTCTCCTGTTGCAGCGATGCTGCGTCGGGGCAGATAGCCGTGCAACCCGCAGTCTTGAGGAGGATTGTGCGGCTGCTGTGCAGGCATACCACGACAATTCAGGGGCAAATGCAACCGAAATCATTCCGTCTTGCTTGGACGAGCAAGAGTGTGTTTCTAGTTTGTCCGGGATCGACGTGTCTGGTTTCGTTTGTACGTTTACTCTCAGTGCTTCGGGGTTCACCCACAACAGCGACTACCCCAATTGCACAGAAATTCCTTATGAAGACGTCCAAGATCTTGGAGAGTGGACCATTCCCATTTCCAGCCTTGCGGATGAACAGAATCATGTTATCAGTCCTTCCATGTTGACCATGGAGGTGCGTGATCCTCCTCATTTCTTTGCAATGAAGAACCTGACGGTGCCGTGGGGCATTGGTGGCACTTGCGATGGGCTTTTGGCACTCTTTATCGAATCACCCAACATCTATGGCTCCAATCCCAACGAGGAATTTGCAGTGATTGCCGTGGGTTCCCTCGAGGGCCTCTCGCGAGACGACGCAATTACCGGGCCTGGCATGTTCTGGTTGGATGCCGCTGCGATTCATAGAGAGAGAAGGGCCCACGTCGGTTGTGCCATTGGGGGTATCACCGAATATGTACTTCAAGGAACCTGCGTGAAAGCGAGTGATGTTGACTCTGGAAGATCTAGTGTGGATACATCTAATGAGACCGAGGTGCCCTCGTCCTCGTCGTTCTGCGGCCTGTCCTTTTCCAAGTCGTGGTTGCTCTTGGTCCTTGGAATGGTGGGATTGCAACTCTAGAGATGGCTTCCCTTCGCTTTGGCCGTCCGTATGTACCAGCTTGCTTTCTGAGTAGCTCTAGCTTGCGTAGTCAATCGAATGTAACGTGAATGTTAAACCGCGCCCCAAAGCATGCTCCTCGTTCGAAAATACACGTTGGGCGCCTCCGTATCTTGGGATGAAGGCCAACGGAGACAAACGACGCCGACCAACAAGCGCCCACCGACGAGAAGACTCCAACTGGGGAGTCGGTGCCCCACAAGATCCGGCTTCCGACCCTGCAACCTCTGCCTGTCGCGACTGAAGAAACAAGAGTTTCCACGTTGACTCCACGCTGGGCCAACCGTGGTATTGCGAATGATTCTTCAATCAAATGCCAAACTCTGCACAAGACTCCAGACTTGCTACCTGCATCGGCTTCGACAATGGCAACGAATAGCAGTAGCAACACCGGAAAGAAGCATCCCCGCAATGAGGTGGATCTTACTGGTGAGGAGGAAGATGAGGAGGACGACAAAAAGCCCACTGCACTGCCACGAGATACTCGTTCCATGTCCAATGCAAAAGCACCGGATAGGCTCTTTCGTACAGACTCTGAGATGGCCATGGCTCTCTTTGAGAGCGAAGCAGATGAACGGCCTCGCAAACGAGCAGCTCGCATGCCAACCTCTGGACATTGCGGCTTTACATGCTCCATTTGTCTGAATGATGAGATTGAGAACGTGGAACATCAGACGTATTCGCTTGCAAGTTGCAAACATACATTCTGCTTTGTGTGCCTAGAGCAATTGGTTCAGACATCCAGCGCTGTCGGTACTGCCACTGCCCAACCAATCCCTTGTCCAATGACTACCGGTACAGCAAAGTGCTCGCAATCTTTGACACTGGGAGATATCCAGACAATCTTGCAGTACAGCCCCAAGAGTCTGTCACTCTACTCTGAAGCTTCCAGTATGGCATTCTTGGAGGATCAAGTCGCAAAAGGCAACGCTCGTCGCTGTCCCAACAAGCATTGTAACTTCACATTTGAATATGAACCAGAAGTTCTCCCGGTCGCTGCAGCCGCCAAAAACAACGTGGCAGCCAAGAAAAGAGGTGCCACTGCAAAGAAAGGAAAGGGGTCCAAGAAAGCGGTTGACAAGAAGAAGGCCCAACCAAAGGTGTATCCCAATGGCTGTTACTTCAAGTGCCTAGAGTGCAACTCTAGCTATTGCTTGGACTGTCCGGCAAATGAAGGAAGAGTTGGTCCTCCTCACAAAGGAAAGTGCGACGAACGAGTCAAGGTGCTCAATATGACCGCGAAGGAGAGAAAGCAATTGAAGGCTTGGGAAAAGATCAACGCAGAAGCTGACGGGCGCTTTCGAGCGTTGTTGAAACGTGAGTCAAAGAGTGGGAAGACCAAAGCTTGCCCAAAGTGCTTTCGTTTGATTACAAAGAACAAAGGATGCGATCATATGGTTTGTACTGGATGCAAAAAGCGCTTCAACTGGTCTTCAGCTCCCCGTTTCCAGGGCTAGAATAGAAAACTGAGGCTCCACTCAGAGATCTCAGAGGAGACACAGAGCCAATTATGCAGCTGCTATCACAAAAGGTGCTAACTAATTCTATTAATGAAGAATGATGGTCGAAGCCCAGTCTGGACTTTTCGGCTGAATAGGCATTAATGCGGAGCTACCCTCAGGTTAAGTCCGCTTGCGAGAACCTGTCTGCCATCATGAAACCTCTGCTTTTAGTGCGCCTTGGCTTATTCTTCTCCCACCACACCGGTGGCATTGCACCGCTGATTGCCCCCAAAGGTCGTATCAAGCCATTCACTGCGATTAGAAAGCAGTTGCTCAATGTCCTGAGAAACGCCCTTTGCAATACCCAGCTCAAGAGGTGTCCGATTCCTTGCGTCTTTCAAACGGAGTGCCATGGGGGCAGCGTCAATCAGTACGCGTATGGCCTCCAACGGGACTTGTCGGTCAACCGCTAAATGCAGAGGAGTCATCCCGGTATCGTCTTGTGACGTCCCACTGTATCCCCGAAACAGAGGCACTGGGTAATGGTTCACCAAGAGTCGAATGAGGTCCACAAATGCCTCGACTGCGGCTCCTTCTGTCACGTCTTCTGCACGAGGTTCCAGATGGATTGGCTTTAGTGACTGCAGCGCATTGTTCAATGGGATCCACCCCCTCCAGCTTGGATTGGATAGTGCTTCAGGATACTCTTCAATCAAGAAAGCCGCCACTTGCACCGTCCGACAGCTCAGGTTGGAATGATCCCATAGAGTCATACCCTGGAGCAAGGTGACACTGTTTCTATTTTCAAAACGCAAAGCCGATGGATAAATTTCCGCCATGAGTTGCACAGTTTCCAAAGGCATTCGTCGAGCCGCGCTGAGGAGAGGTAAATTAGAGTGCCTATCACTCATGCTCAGAGCGTTCGGGTAAAGCTCGATTATGTGCTCCGCCAACTTGGGAGTACAAGGACTGTTGCAGCAAAAGTGCAAGAGAGTCCCGTACCTCGAGCTGACGACCTCTGCCAGGGAGGGAAACTTGAAGAGGAGGTAGAAGGCCACGTCGTCTTTGGTGGATTTTCCAGTACGAATGGCGGCTTGCATTGGGGTTAGATCATCTGGCGAGTTTGTCCTGGATATTGCATCGGGATAGCCATCCACCAGGAAGGCCACGACGTCGACAGGCATTGCTGGATTGAAGCAGGCTGAATGGACCAACGTGTTTCCATTGCTATCAGTGGATTGCCAAACATTATTATCGTCAAAACCTTCCAATCTGGTTTCCAAGGCCTCAACAGAGACATTGGGGTCCAAACGCAACCAACTATGCAGTTCTGCGATGCCTGGCAATGAGGTGCACTCCACTCCCACCAGCATTAGTGCGAAGAAAACGATGACAACGCTACGCTTCATTGCGATTGGACGAATAAAATGAGAGCTTCTTTCTCCTCCCTTCTTCTTGATCATCTATCGATGGAGAGAGAGAAAACGCTGCATCCCTAGTTTCGACGTTCATTCCATTCCCATCATCTTTCGGAAACAGCACGGCCACTGCTTGAGGCGAGCAAGGATCAAGCGGAGGACAAATTTGGCCATCCACGATGGCCGCCTTCCACGCTGTGATCAACCTGCAGAGCTGATATTTAAAAATAACCGTCAGAACCACTTCATTGGCCACACACAAAAAGCACCACCAACCATGACGGCAAGATGGCAAGCAACCGCCGTCTTCTTCGGAATGAGCAAGGCTCTGAAAGTGCATCACAGCGCTCTAGCAGCGGTAGATCGGACTTGAATCGGGAATGGCAGCAAGAAATTGATGGAGTGGATATCGCTGACTTCTTTGGTTCTCATGATGATGAAGACGATGTCAAGAATTTTACTCCACAAAACCAGAGCCGTCGAGTCACCGTGGATCCTTCTGACTTCCGATCTACCGGTACTAACAGGCCTTCTCCTGGAGACGACGACAACGATATCGAGATCATTGCCAATAGATATGAAGAAGGAAGCGCGAATGTCAATGGAACAAGCATCGGTTCTGGTAACGTTGATAGTTCAGAAGAAGCTGTTAGTGGGAACCATGGCAGAGGACAAGCCGAAGAATTGGAATCAAATACGACATCATTGGATCACAGCGTGTCTTCCTCTCCAATAGCCAACAATCAGCTTGCAGGGAGTCGAGTAAGCGAAATTGCACAGCAACGTGGCGTTGACAGTGTCGAGAACCCAACGTCTCCCATCGAATCCTTCCAGAATATTGGCCGAGATGAAAAGAAGGAAAAGAATCCGCGGCAAAATCAAATAACATTGACCCAGTGTTACCGCCAATTTGACTCGCAACCGCCATCCGGGAATAGTGGGGAGACAATTAAGATGAAACTGGCGTCATCTGGGGATACGATTTGTCAGGTTAACAACAAAAGGGCCATTGGAAGAGCTGGTGCTACATGTAGCAATCAGAAGACTCCAGCAAAGACAATAACCAACGGTGGAAATAAGAGAAAATCAAATGTCAGTAGCACCAAGCGGGGGAGCAAAAGCACCACGAAGAAGAAAAAGGGGTTTGACGAAGGACGGAGCAGCAGCAGCAAAATATCTGCATTCTTCCCTCAGTCTCACAAGAAACAAAGCGTTGCAAATGGAGAGCACGACGAATATTCAAACAATCAACTCCGAACGAATTCAGAAAGCTTTTTGGAACTGCATTCTGAAACTGAAGAGGACGATGATATTGCTGATGCTGCAGACGAAGCAAATGACCAAGAGCTCCAGATGACACAATTGTCACAAGAGGAGCTGACTTGTCAAGCTCAGCACCTCAGCCAAGCCTATTTCAACAACGATGATGAGAACAGCGAGAAGGAGGGGGAGGACGGGGGAAAAGAGGACGACGACAAAGACGAATTTGAGCAAGAGACCTTGGATTTGCCGGATGAGGACTTTCAATCCCTTTGCTATAACTTTACCCAAGAGTGGCAACCTGACCTACACGATGACGACAGCGTGCACGACTACGATCCAGGACCATTTGACCGGTACGGTCCTCGCCGTTACAGAAAAAATGAATTCTGGTTTGACAACAACGAAAGACACGTCGAGAAGATCTACAAGATTCAGAGAGTCAGGCGCAAAGGCTTAGCCAGGCGTGCCGTTTGCAAAACTTATGTGAGGATGGATAAAACCTACCTAGGACACGAACACGACGAGTCGCAGAAGAAAGCCTGGATTGAACAGGTTGGTGAACTGGTTGAGGTAAAGTGTAGGAATCTGAATCAGATTGTGCCGAAACATTGGAAGTTGGCTCCTTATCTTTGGGAGCCGACCTTTGATAACGGTCGATTTGGCTTCGCATACCACCTCAAGGTGTCGTCCAAGTCTCCACCTACGAAAGTTGCTGTACAGGGAGCACCAACCTGTCTCGACCTCTTCGCAGGAATTGGCGGTATGTCGATGGGGCTCGAAAAGGCTGGCTTCAACGTTACAGCGGCAGTCGAAATGGACGACATTGCATCAGCGTTGCTGGAAGTAAGTACGGTGCGACTATTTCGATGATTTTGCACACTGTCAAGGTTCTCAACTCGCTCTGTCAATGCAACAGGTCAACTCAAGGAATGAAGGGGGAACAAATCTAGATGTGTACTGTGAATGCGTGAACGAATTCCTTGACAAAGTTGAACATCCAGATCTAAACCCATCGTATCCACAAAAGGGGGATTTCAATCACATTCATGCTTCCACCCCTTGTCAAGGCTACTCCACTGCAAACAGAGCTAAAGGTGGTGGGATTAACGGGCGCAAGAATAACAACCTTGTATTCTCGTTCATCAGAGCGGTTAGTCTATTCAAGCCCGACACAGCTTCTTTCGAGAATGTTCAGGGTATTCTGCGTGACGAGCACAAGCGGTATCTGCAGAAGATGCTGGTCGATCTCTTAATGGATATGAACTACAGTGTCCGTCTATGCGTACTGAACAGCAAAGATTTCGGTGATCCTCAGGACAGACGTCGAGTTTTCCTCTTTGCATCAAAGACAGGCGTCCCTCTCGCGGCAGAGCCACCCGCAACTCATGGAGCAGGATTGATTCCGTATAGGACTGCAAGAGATGCAATTGGAGACCTAGAAGACATTGCCCCTGTAAAGGGATTTGGGCGAGTGCTTGTGTATGGCAAAATTGTTAACAACCATTCACTGTAAGTTGTCTGCGACTGAGTTGATGCTCCTCTTGCTTCCTCGGTAGCTCACTACTTGCATGCACTGTTGCAACGTCGAAAGTGATGGAACCGAAGTTAAGGGCGAGCAACGAAAAATCGATCCAGATAAGCCCGTGACGACGCTCTACGGCAATGCGACGTACTCCATGGTACACTACAAGCATCATCGCGGCAACACGTCCCGGGAATTGGCAAGGTTTCAATCTTTCCCGGACACTTGCAGGTTTTCGACAAAGCGAGGAGATGCTCGGAAGCAGATTCAAAATGCTGTTCCACTGAAACTGGCCACTGCTGTGGGAAGAATCATCATGCAATCATGCTATGTCGTCGAATCGCAGTCGTAGCCAGGCTAAGAGAGACATTGGAAGTGAGGCAACAGTTTTTTAGAGATGAATGATCCAATGGTCTTGTGCTCACCTTGAATCGAATCGGATGGATATTCTGCGATTGATCATTCTGAAAGCTGTTGGAAGTGTAATTCATAATAAAATCCAACGAAAGGCTGAATATCATGCGCGCTACTACTAGTACTACCGCATGCAGCTCTAGCCAGTTTCGAAGGTCCCTTGTGCGAGCAACTATCTTTGACTGCTGCACAAACCTTCGATGCTTGCTGCCTCCATTGCGCAAAAGCCTTCCCGCGGCCGCGCCATAATATCGTTCGTTCCGAGACCGACTTCGTGACGGTTGGCTCTGCCTGAGTCACTCGGAGATCCTCACAATTTCGATTTGAAATCGAAGCACACGTTACTTTTCAACACTGGCACTTTTGATCCACAGGACAGATAATACCACCTGCAACGACAATGAGACTTTGCGTATTAGTCTTAGCTGTTATACGGTGCGGCGCTTCAGGGCTTAAAGCCTCAAGCCAGGAAAATGGGAAAGGGTCGACGTCCGGCATCGGCGGAAGCGGATACCCTCACCACTGGCCGGGCAATACAAGGGCACTGAATAGCAATGGTGGAAATTTCTTTCATTTCCCATTTGCCACAGAGACTGAAAAGGAGACCTACAAAGGTAGTTCCAAACACAATGGGCCCAAGGAGAAGAATCAGTTTAGCGGCGTCTTTCACTTCCCAAACTCGGGCGCAAAAAGTATCGAAGTACCTGAAGCCTCCACCAGCAGGGCGAATCCGACTGGTGCTATGTATACATTTGACATAGACGAGCCACCAAACTTTGATGAATTTGAAACAATAACTGATGCACCTGAGTGGGAGAACGACCCATTCGAGTTTCCCTCTGCCGCACCTGATTCTATTTTCGACGCCCAAACTGCTCCGCCAGAGGATCCCATATTTTTCTTTCCGGTGGATGGCACTGCAGACCAGGAAGACATAATCACTCAAGCCCCAATCGATCCTCCAAAGGAGCACATATTTTTCTTTCCGATGGATGGCCCTGAGGATCCCGAAAAACCCAATGATGGTGGCAATCTCTTCATTAGTGTCAGCAATGATGCGGTTTTGGAGGAAGCAGAAGATACTCAGTGGCCATGGAATACGGGTATGCCATCAATCATGCTTACCAACACGCCAACTGAAAATCCTTCGCATCCCAGTTCGTCGCCAAGCTATGCCAATACAGGCTCGCCGTCCATCATGCCATCTGGTATCCCTTCGGATTTGCTGTCTTTGGTGGGTGTTCCCTCCATGGTCCCTTCTAATGCCCCTTCAGGCATGCCATCCATACAACCATCCAATCAGCCAGTATTGGTTCTGTCAACTGAAACATTGCCACCAGTTCATTCAAACGCAACTGACTGTGAAAACTCCACACTGACAGATGAAAGAGCAGCAGCCACAGAGGTGCCATCTGTTGCTCCTTCCGATGTGCCCAGTGATGTCCCCTCTGTTGTGCCCAGTGATATCCCCTCTGGAGTGCCCTCTTCAGTTTCAACCTCTCAGCCAGTCTTAGTGCTCTCTACTGAAACATCACCTCCTGTTCACCTAAATGAAGCTGATTGCGACAACTCCACTACTTCAGCACCGTTGGGTGAGAGAGCAGCACCAACAGACCCACCATCATTCTCTCCATCTGACCTTCCCTCTGATGTCCCGTCGGATGTTCCCTCTGATGTCCCCTCCACTGTTCCTTCTCATCCTCCTTCTGATGTTCCCTCTGATGTTCCCTCCACTGTTCCTTCTCATCCTCCTTCTGATGTTCCCTCTGATGTCCCCTCAAGCGTTCCTTCTGATCCTCCTTCCGATGTTCCCTCCAGTGTGCCTTCAAGGGTTCCTTCATACTTGCCAAGTGATCTTCCTACTGATGTCCCCTCTAGCATTCCTTCCCAAGTGCCGTCTGACAGTCCTTCTGATGTGCCCAGTGATGTCCCCTCTGATGTGCCCAGTGATGCCCCCTCAGCAAAACCTTTATTCTTGAACCCATCCAATCAGTCAATACTGGTTCTGTCGCTGCAACAGGAGCCCCAGTTCATTCAAATGAACCGACTGTGATAATCCACACTGACAGAGAGAGAGCAGCAGCCACAGAGGGCCATCTGTTGCTCCTTCTGATACGCCCAGTGACGCCCCCTCAGATGTACCCAGCGACATCCCCTCTGGTGTGCCATCTTCAATTCCAAGCTCTCAGCCAGTCCTAGTGCTCTCTACTGAAACATCACCTCCTGTTCACCTAAATGAAGCTGATTGCGACAACTCCACCACCTCAGCACCTTTGGGCGAGAGAGCAGCACCAACAGACCCACCTTCATTCTCTCCATCTGACTTTCCCTCAGATGTCCCCTCCGATGTCCCGTCAGATGTTCCCTCCAGTGTGCCTTCAAGGGTTCCTTCAAACTTGCCAAGTGAAATTCCTACTGACGTCCCCTCTAGCATTCCTTCCCAAGTGCCGTCTGACAGTCCTTCTGATGTGCCCAGTGATGTCCCCTCTGATGTGCCCAGTGATGCCCCCTCAGCAAAACCTTTATTCTTGAACCCATCCAATCAGTCAATACTGGTTCTGTCTGCTGCAACAGGAGCCCCAGTTCATTCAAATGACACCGACTGTGATAATTCCACACTGACAGACGAGAGAGCAGCAGCCACAGAGGTGCCATCTGTTGCTCCTTCTGATACGCCCAGTGATGTCCCCTCAGATGTACCCAGCGACATCCCCTCTGGTGTGCCATCTTCAATTCCAACCTTTCAGCCAGTCCTAGTGCTCTCAACTGAAACATCACCTCCTGTTCACCTAAATGAAACTGATTGTGACAACTCCACGTCAGCACCTTTGGGTGAGAGGGCAGCACCAACAGACCCGCCATCAATTGCTCCCTCAGATGTGCCATCTTTGGTTCCAACGGTACCAGTACTTTCAGCTCACTCGAATGACACTGATTGTGCTCCAGGGACAAACTCTAGCAACTCCACCGATAACGAGGAGAGTGTCTCTTCAGAGAATCTCCCCCCTGAAGTCAACTTTGCATCTAGCTACTGGGAGGTTCCTAGTCCAAAATCTGCTCCAGTAGCACACGCCCTTTCTCCCGAGGTACATTTTTCATCAAACTATTGGACGGGCAATACACCCGGAAATATTCCAAGTGAAGTATTCGGGAATGGTGGATCCGGATCTCTCTCTCCTGAGCTTCATTTTGACGCGAATTACTGGGATTCTGCACCGTCATCATTATCATCCTCTGCTCCGCAAACCTTTCAACCATCACCTCGTTCTCAGAGTGTTCCGGCCGAGGCACATTTTGCTGCAAAATACGGGACCTCTGCCCCGTCAGCGCTGTCACCTTTGCCGTATCCCAGTAGTGGATCTCAATCGCTTCCCCCTGAAGTACAGTTTTCTGCGTCTCACTGGAAAATGACAACTGGCTCACCAACAACGGATCTCATGTCACCAGCGGCTACTTTCGCGCCTGACAGTAATGCTCCCAGCACGACGAGCTACCCATCTGGCGAACCTTGGCAAGGAGCAACTTCAGCACCAACAGCTGGTAGTATTCGTCCCACGTTGCATCCAGAGAATCATGTTTTTGTGTTCCCGTCAGCAGTAAAACCCTCCGCTGTGTCCGCTTCCTTGGCTAAACAAAGCTCTGCCCCAAGCACGATGGATGCAGAAGAAGTCGCAATCTACAATGTCTTGCGTGTGACGCAGTCGCCAAACCAAGCCACGAACACCTTGGTTCTCGAGACTGCCCCGTCCAAACCTCTCGCATCGATGACTACGCCTCTATCCCCTGTTGCTTTGCCGCCTACCGCAACGTTACCACAATCAACAAACTCCCCGTCCACCGGTCCTCTCGACGATGAGGGGCCAACGCCGGGACCGACAAAGCAACCGTCCACGGCTCCGACGCAATCGTCATCCCCGTCTCCAGCTCCGTCGGTGACAATATTCCCATCGGCAACGCCATCTATACCCACGCTTCAGTTCCTGGAGAACCATTTGCTACAGACGACAAAGAGTGAGTCAGCTCGCCCTCGCGACAAAACCGCATCTGATCCGGTTGTCGTTGTAGAGGAAGTGGAAGAAACAAAGAAGTCGGCAGGGGGTACTACTTTGCTAGATATTGTGTGTGAACTTTCCAATCATGTCTTTTGCAAACACGGTCCTTGAGAGGTTGAGGAGCCGACGAACACATCACAAAAAATCCCTCGATTGAGCTCGCTCCCCGCGGGCCAAATGCATAATCTTGCCTCGGATTTGGAATCCTTGCAAGAATGATGCCGTCGAAAGAAACATGCTTGCCCGCCACAAGAGAACGATCTTGCATCGACTTGAACTCCTTGCAACTTCGACTGCAGTGCCACTGGATGTCCTGGCGCACTGTTTAATGTGCGTTTCCCAGACAATCCGGATGACACTGCACAGCAAGGGAAAGCATCAGTCGTCGTGAAGTCTAACTCCATAGACGCACGGCACCATTACTTAGTAAAATTACCTTCTACCGTAAAAACCTAAAGGAAACTGCTTCTTTATTAAAGTATTGAAGCCAGAGATAATCATACCAAACTCTGTGAGTAGATGCAGCTAGCCACAAGCTACCAAAGTCATCAAACCTCCATTGATCCCTACCGTTTTGAAGCCACGCACTCTGGTGCGCCCAAGCAATCAAACTGCTAATAAAGTATGGTATCGGCCAGTACCTAGCTAGAGGTACCGTGCACCGGCACGGAGACGAGAGTTCCACACCACGGCATGAACATGCATCCAAGAAAATGTTGTTGTTGTCTAAAACTTTTACAACGTTCACCGCCGTTTTGTTATTCATCCAAATCCCTTGGGAGGTGCCGACCCGGGTACTTCCCATCCATCATATTCGTCATCATCTGTGTCGTCCTCGTCATCTGTCCCCACGGCTTCCAATCCGACTGCCAAATCGGGATCGAGAAAGGCCAAAAAGGCGGGATCTTCATGTTTGGGAGCAGGTGGGGGTGGTGGTGGATTTTGGGCACGACGCAATGCCTTGAGGTGTAGCTGTCCTTGTCGTTGTTCTTGTCGAAGTGGCGATTCACTCTTGCTTTTGGCTGGTTTGACAGAAAGAACCCGCCCCAAAAATTCGTGGCCCCGTAGCTCTTGCAAACACAAAGTGGCAAAAATGGGTTCGGCAAATCCCACAAAGGCATAGCCCTTGCTGTCTCCAGTCTTCCAATCTCGTACAATTTGAATCTTGGCAATATCCCAGGGAGTGGCAACCAAGGGGAGAATCAATTTCGTAATTGGTTTCGTGTGGTTATTCAAATTGCCAATGAAAATTTTGGTAGGATCTGCATACCGGAGAGCTCCAATTTTACCCGCCATGGAGAGTCGATGGCGATGATTGGTCAAGAGATCATTTGATGCAGACAATTTCTTCACGGAGGCTTCTTTGGACTTATTGTTTTTGTTGGATTTCTTCTTGTACTTGTCCACAATAGTCGCTCGCTTGAATCCAAAGAGAACTGTAGATTGTTGATACCTGAAAGGAAAGGTATTGGCGACAAAGGAAGCAACTGTGGGGATCATCACAAGCAATAGTATCCTGGAAGAAACTCCAACGGCTGATCTGTGCGAGACCTTCATGGTGACGTTAGGATTCTTCTATTGTCTAGAAGCAGCCGTTCCTCTCGTCGGCTCCAAAGGTAAAAAGCCCCTCCTTCTTTCTCTCCTTTGTATCTTTTCAAAAGGATGCAACCTGATGCATTACTCTCTTTCTTATTCATTCGGCCATGGAAATGGCTTCTGTGTGGTTTTGGTTTGAGGTCCGTGGATCTTTTGGAGATCGATGTGCGATGTACGTACGGTACTTGGTTGGGTCGTCCATGATGAGATGAGTGGTCGCGGAAAGATGTTGCAGTTTGAAGTGTCAGTCACGAGGCGTCAGTCCCATTGTAGACCGGTGGGGCCACCCATTACAGGTAGGTATTCATCATTCAATCTTGGCGATGAAAGTAGTCTACTAGACTAATGAATTGTGCGGAAACAATTCTAAATACTAGCTAGCGTAGTACCATACTGTTTTCCAGATCAAATGAATAGAATCCTGATGAAAAAGCTGCAGAAGCCATCGGTTGCCGCCAACAGTGGTGATGAAATGTGACGACTTGATTATGAACATGCTATGATGAATGATGAATCGAATCATAAATAATGGATTCCATTTCAGATTCCCCCCAAGTGAGGGGTCTTCCTGGAGTATTGTGATAGGGCAAATGCATCCATCTCAACCCACGTTGGATTCCAACAGTTGACCCCAGCACTAGATCCCAGCAATGTTGTTGTTTGACCCCAGCAATGCACTGGAGCTACTAGCGAGGCCGTGGCCATGCAGCATGATAGATATCCATACTAAACTACAGTAGCTAGTATTATCCACAACCATTCACATTATTTTACAGCAACATGGCAGATGGCAGTCGAGCTCGAGGCGTTGGAAAGTCATCCTGTTTACTCGGACTAGTCGCTTTGTGGTCATAGAAGGAGTTTTCTCATTTGCTTCGGGTCATGAAATGACCTTAGCCACATGGCACCCCCAAAGCAACCACCAGCAGCAACAGGTCAAGCTTACCGTTGTTAACTGGTGGTACCGGTAGAAGCACAACAGAGTAACAGGAAGGATCCAGCCTCGGTGATCACGATCATCGGATTGTTGTCTGTAAAACTCTGTTGTTCGTTGTTCGTTCTTGATAGGAGACCAGCAGAAGCTGGGACAAGAGAACAAGCTGACTTTGGTTCCATTGCCCTTTGTTCATTGCTTTGACTTCCATCACCTCACAGAGCACCATGGAGGAAGACGACGACAGTGAAGACTTTCACAGTCATGAGCACCATCACCATCACCACCATAGCCATCACGGTCCACCTGGTAGAACGCGATCGGGCATGTCGGAACAAGAGCAGCGATCGCGACGAGAAAGCATCAAGGGGATCATGGCGGACCACTCTCTGAGTGCCGTGGAGAAGAGACGGTCGATTCAATCCTTGATGGATGGCCGACGACGGTCCAGTACTACCGGATGTTCCGTGTCGAGTGCATCGGCTGCTGGTAGCGACAATCCGAGTGGAGACTACGTGTCGTCCATGGCAGCCGCCGCTGCAGCAGCCGCCGAGTACTACGACTCGTCAGACGATGATATGCTCCTGTCGGATGCGGAAGACGACGAAGACGACAAAAAACGCCAACATCAACATCACCACCATCATCACAATCACCAACACGGCAATCTTCAAACCAACAATAACAATAGCAACCACAACAACACAAACAACAACAACAACAACGACAGTATAAATCCCTGTGAGCACGTCTTTGTGGGACGACGAGCCAGTACATCAACGGCCGGCGATTCGTCCGTCTCTCAAATATCACTGGGGTATGGAGGTCCCAATCGCAGAGGATCCGCCACATCGTCATCAGGACACAACAGCAACAACAACAATAGCAGTAGTTATGCCGGAAGCAGCAGTCTCAATGACGACAGCAACAGCACAGCCATTCGAAATCGAGAACTGATACAGGGACTCGACGATCCGGAAACGGATGATGTCAAAAAACGATTTCGACGATATGGGCGAGCACGGTCTCTACAAGATTTTGGAGATGGTGCCTTTGCTGCGGCGGCAGCAGCCGCGGCGTCTTTTGTCAAAAATGATCCCCGAGCCACCAACAAACGCATGGAAAAATCAAGACCCAAATGTGAACATTACGAACGACAATGCACCATTGTCAGTCCGTGTTGTGGATTGGCTTTTGGATGTCGCATTTGTCACGACGAATGTCCCGTATTGCCACCGCCACTGAGCGCCAAAAAACAAAAACAACTGTACGATGATGATGATGACGACGACGACGATGATGACAACGACGACATTGGCCAATCGTTCCGGGCCAATACATCCGATGTCAATGCCGCTTGTGCGGCATGTGTAGCGGCATTCTCCGTCGAGCAGGCGGGAAAGAAAACCAAACAGGATCGCCGGAGGTCCATGCCCATTGATCTAGAAGAAGAAGAAACACATCACGAAATTGATCGATTTGCCATTCGGGAACTCATTTGTCGCAAATGTTTCACTCGACAGTCCAGCAAAACGTAAGTTTGTTTGAAAAGAAGAAGAAACTTTACAGTTGTCAATATACGCTTGTCCCGGGTTGTACTGACTTGTTTATTTGCTTGCTTGCTTGTTTTGCTTTGGGAATGCCTGCCATGATACAGAAATAATTGCAACAATTGTGGGATCCAATTTGGAGAGTATCATTGCGATATATGCAACCTTTGGATGTCTGCAAAAGAAAGTCCGTATCATTGTCACGAATGTGGCTTCTGTCGGGTTGGAGGCAGAGAAAACTTTAGACATTGTGATGACTGTGGCATGTGCATTGATGCACTCCTATTTGATGATCATAACTGCAAAGTGGGAAAATACATGTCCAATTGCCCCGTCTGTCAAGAGGACTTGTTCTCATCGCGGTATGCCAGTCATGAAATGCCTTGTGGACACGCTATTCATTGGCATTGCTTTAAAGAATTGACATCCTACGACACGCGATGCCCCGTCTGCAAAAAGACTGCAGAAACTGCCGATCAAATGGCTGCCACGTGGTCCGCCATGGCCATGGGAATCGCATTGCAACCAGTGCCAGCAGACTTGGCAAGGGTGGTGACGATCCTGTGCTATGACTGCGAACAAAGAGATGACAATCGACGATGGCACTTCTTGGGAGTACGGTGTTCGAATTGCTTGAGCTTCAACACAACGGTAGAACGAACTACCATAATGGGGAGGGATGCTGCAGCATTTCTGGATGAATTGGATCGACAACGTGATCGACGATCTTCAGGCGGTGGTGGTGCAAGAAGTTCGGCAGCAGACGCAGCGGCGCAAGGTGATTACGATGCCGTGATGCAGCAAAGAGAAGTAGAGTTGCAAATGCAAGGAATGAACATGATGGATGATGGCAGCACTCCCGGCCACAATCTCGGTAACAACGTGCTGGACGAGGACGAGGATGATGGAGCCGATCTAATGCACGATTGATTGAAACAACTCACTCCCTTTGTGGGCGACTCCTGCAGCAACAACAACGGCGCCTCCCTGCGTAGCCAGCTAGAATGATCCAGTCGGATTGTTTCCATGCTCTTGCCGCTGCTTGTGTCCCTGACCGGCTTGCTGCAAAGGCTTGAAGAGAAAGACCACAGTACAGGAGAATCCACGAGTTGTGCACCGTCCTAAGCGCTGCCGTCCTAAGCGCTACCACAGCAAAATACAGTCCTCGCGGTAGCATGGTTGTTGCAAGTTGGAGTTTAAAAGCTAAGAATCCCTCGTTAGTAATCTTGTACAACCATGTCTAACGTAAACTAGAGTGCGGCAATTCTTTGAAAGCAAGCTCCTTTATCGTACCGAAGGACGAGGAATAGCAGGTATCTGGCCCGATCAGAGCCATCAGAATATCCACGACGAAGCCACGGAGAAAGATATCCCCTGCAGGAATGATTTAATCAGCTATAGAGTATGAGACCAATTCAAGGGAAATAGCCCTCAACGGATGTACACTGTAGGGCCCTTGTGAATTTTATTTGTGTGTTTGTCTGTTTGTCTGTTTGTCGTTTTGTGGGTTTGTCTGTCACAGTTTTTAGCCCTAACCCTACAAAAGTAGCCTGCCCAAAATTTAAAAGAGGAACAAATGGCTGGCTAGCTACTCCTGCTATTAATAGTCACCGTAGCTCCCAAGCAGCCAACTGTTCATTATTTAGCTAGCCAGCTAGGAGAGCCTAATATCTTGGCTACCCAAGCAGCCAACTGTTTATTACCTTAGCTAGAAACAGGCTCTAATATATCTACTAGAGCTAGCAGCGGTGGCAGTACTAGCTATCTAGTTACACGTTGTAGCCAACTGGCCCAATGATTGGATTCCATTTCAAACTCGTTGAGGGCTCATGCCTTCGGCAGCCTCAATGCTCGGCAAATCTCAAGAGCAAAACCTTCTTAGTTTTTCTTCGCTTGCAGCACAATCTCTTCTAGTTCTTCTATTGCTTGTTCGCCAGGATAGAGCTTCCCATTAATTTCCCAGGTGGGATATCCTGGAACATTCTTCTCCTTGCAAAGGCCGTTTTGTTGATTGTAACCGTCCTTACTGCATTCGATGTATTGGATTGTGGAAAAGGCTTGTTTGCCGAATGCCTCTTTTTGATCATAGCAATGAGAGCACCTAAACAGTCAGAAGCAGTACATGAGCAATTGGATGCATCCTTCCTGTGGATTGTATGAGTATTGTACCGTGAAGATGACTTACCAATAAGCGCCGTACAATTTGGCATTCAATGTCCCAAGCTCAGCCGATAAGGCAAGAGTTCGTTCTGACGACACAGTTGTTATAGGTGGTGGTTTGTATCCTTCGGCTGAGGCGAGTAGAGTCCCTGATTCTGCAGCCGAGCCACCCGCAGATCCAGCAAATTGAGTTGCAGTGCTCGTGTCATCGACGCTGAGGAACAGTGTCAAGGCGGCCACAAAAGTGGTTGCAAAGCTCCCCACACTGATTTGAGCTCCACGTTTCCGTTCTTCGTCTGGAAGGCCACCTCCAACCCAAAAAATCCCTGCCATGCCAATAGAAAGACACGCGGAAACTATGCAAAATGGACAGCTCTCATGCAACACTCCGAAGAGCAAAGACATGAGAAAGATGGAGAAAGTACCCATAGTTGTCGTTGCTGCTGCGAGCCAAATCCTGTTTTCGGTGTCATCGGAATCATTTGTCGCTATAGGCAGCAATGCCAAAGTTGCCACCATACTATAGGCCACCAGACCCAAGGCTGCCAGGGGGAAATCAGTAAAAGGTATCGAAGCATAGGGACCTGACAGGACTGAATTGCAGCCTCCATCAGGGCCGCAAAAAGCTTGGGAAGCTCCTGTTACTTTAGTAACCGTCAAATATGCAGTTTCCAGAGCCCCTAAGCTGGCCATGCTTGCAACTACTCGACGTAGCTGTGGATTCCAACATGAAGGATCTTCTTGGTCGGGAGTGATTGGACTTCTTTCTTCATTTATGTTGGAGTCTTCTACCATTCCAAGTATCCTGAATCCCCGTGAAAACTCTTGATGTGGGGCGGGCCGATCGGTCTTCACAGACCCAAGTTGCTGAGGCGAAAACGCAGTTGCTAAAGGGATGAACAGAAGGGATAATCGGATTGCTCCTCTCATCTTAGCTTTGGTGAAGTAGTGAACACCAGCACAGAGATCGAATACGTGATGAGTTATTACGGCAGGTGTGAAGGTTGCAGGAAAGAGAAATTGTAGGCATCCACAAAGTTCAACATTAAAACTCCTTCCGCTCTGACGTCAGTTAAGGTATTAATTTGACAGCTTTGTTGGCTGAAGCCCGAAATCAGGACAACACCCAAAAGTTTACTCGCCCCCGCTCTAGCCCGACTGAAGCGCTGTTGTGTGTGAATTCTTTCAGCCCACACACCCCGAACTCACAGCGTGATCAAGGACTCCATCTGAAAGCCAATACAGTGCACCTGCACCATTGGTCAGGTACCAAGCAGCCAAACATGCAGTCATGAGAGGAACGATTGCTTCTTGAATGCCTCAGCAGGTTACAACGTACAGCTATTGCATAGTTGACTCAGAAAGTAATCCGGCAAAAAGATACTGGCTGCACTGGAAACGAAAGAATGCCCCCGAAAGGCTTCAACGTTTGTCCAAACCAAGCTCGAAGCTTGGAACTATGCATACCGGTACTGCGGATCAGTTCGACCTTCAAACATAAACAGCACCAGCCACACAGCCTGGCTGCTACCGTAGATAGCTACTAGTAGCTATTAACACCACTCATCTTTCCTGCGGAAAAGAGCGGCAATGACAACAAACATACAGATAATGCATTTTGTTGTAGAAAGTGTCATTGTATTCATCTCTTGATCTCTTATGTGCCCAAGGGAGAGTACAGTACTCTCTGATTACTCATACACTATCTTAGCGCCAGTGCAGGTCTGAGCGGTAGCTACAATCGTAGCCAAGAAAGATGCGTACCGGTACCGGTACCGGTACAGTCGTACCACCTCCGTAGTTCTTACAATTTGACGCGAAGGCAAGAACGTTTGAAAACTGCAGAGAGTGCCCCGCAGCGCATCAAAGACTGATCCAAACATCTTCACATAAACTCACTACCAACACTCTCTGCCTTGGCTGTCGACGTCCTCCCTTCTCGAGACTGGACCGACCGTATAATATCATACCTAACAAAGATGTGTCTTCCCTCCACCAACGCCGCCTCCACAAGTGCTGATGCTAGTGGCGATGCCCGTTACGAACTGACTGAATCTGAACGGGAAGCTGTCATTGCTCTGAAGGCGGCATGCGATCAGGCAGGGATTGCCTACAACAACCTCTTTGAGTTGGCCAAGTATGTCCTCGTCGTTCACTCTTCCTTTCTTGATTCGGACGAAAAAGCTCCTCAAAAGCGCCTCGAGAAGGCAGTCTCACTGATGAAAAAGCGCAATGCTTGGGCCAAGAAGCACCAGTTGGAACACATTGATCCAATGGAAGCCCTTGAAGAACTCTACCAGCTTCACCCCGACTTCTTTGTCACAAACTTTTCTCACGATCACGAAGGCCGCGTTGTCGTGGCGCATCATCACGCCCATGCCCCGTCTGATTTTGTGTATCAGTCCAAAAAGAACGGGGCCAAGTACCTCGCAGCCGAACAATTCCGGATGAATTTGGGAGCCGTTGACATGGAAGAAGCCCGCCGCGGAATGTGTATGGTCAGCATCACAGACAACCAGTTGACAACCAAACGTTCCTTTCGCTACCTTCGGCTTGTTACTCACGCCCAGGAAAACTTGAAAAGCATGCATCCAAACCGAGTCCGATCAATCTACTCACAGGTACCGGCTTTCGTCATGTATCTTGTCCCGACCGTCAAGCTCCTCTTGCCCAAGAAGATCGCTTCTCGAGTCAACATTGTGGGTAATATGGAAGAGCTCGGGGAGCTCCTGCATTCAGCCAAGAATCCTGACACGACAGTGCTGGAATGGGCCGAGGAACGTCACGCCAAGTACCTCGAAACGGTGAAGAAGCTTATCGTTTAGAGGAGGCTGCTGCCGTAATCCTTGTAGTTGAGGTTGCATTCAAACTCTTACATGAACAATCAATACTAGTAACACATTAGCTAGAAGAAAAGTAACAAAGCCAGCAGCCATGGTGGAGGGGCATCAAACTCAAAGGTGCAACGATTGAAGAAGTCGGCGTGCGAACCCTTGACGAGTTCTTGAGGAAGAGGAAAGGGGGCTCGAGAGAAGAAGCGCTTTGCTTGGCATTCCCTCTGCCGACTGGAAACTCCACCCCTGCGCCTTCGAGGGGCATGGGCCTGCGACTGGTTGTGCGCTTTCGCCCTTGAAGTCGCTATCGCTAAGGTCAGTTCAGTACACTACATGAGGGTTTATGTCCGCTTTTACTGAATAGTGCTAGCGAGCTAGACAATCTCAGGAACAAGCTCGGGCCGCTCATCGCTCGAGCCATTCGTCTTTTCACGACCACGAACATCACTCAACTCCACACTCTCCCCGTAGACGTCGGTATCTGTTTTAACCACATCATAGTCGGACTTGCCCCCGAACTTGGGACTGAGTATTCTTCTTCTTGGTTTTGTCAATTCCACATCGGAGCTCGCTGGGAGCAACTTCATGCCGTTAAGGGTCACCATTAGCATGACGCCAACATCTGAAGATGCGAGAAAATTTAATGAGGTTAGGACTTCGCGGAGAACTACAAAGCAACGAACATTTTCTGTTTACATACCTGATGCAATTGCTCCGAAAAGCGTCATTTTGCCAGCGAACGTTAAAGCCACCACCAGGAGCTTCGACAAAAGACTAAACGCAATGTTCTCTTGGATAGTGCTGACAACACGGTCGCCCATGTTGATGACGTACAACAGCTTCGAAAGGCTGGAGTCCATCAGTGTGACATCACTAATCTCCATGGCCAAGGCAGCAGCTCCATCTCCCATGGAGACACCAACATCAGCCACTGCCAGCGCTGGAGCGTCATTGATGCCGTCGCCAATGAATAGTACTTTCGATTTCGCTTTGAACGGGCCACAGCGGGACGGTTCAGGCCGTATCATACTTCCCACGTAGTGCAGCTTGTCTTCTGGAAGCAACTGACTGTGAACGGAAGCGGTAGGGAGCCCCAACTGCCTAGCCACCGCATTTGCTGCTCCTTCGCCGTCACCAGTCAGCATGACGACATCGATGTTGTTTGCGAGCAGTGACTGGACAGTGTCGTATGCGTCTTCCCGAATCGTATCTACCATTGAAAATGCCCCAATGATCCCTTCGCCTTCAATTCCAATGAAACCGACAGTGGCGCCATTGTTGGACCATTCGGTTGCAGCGTTTTGGTTCTCCAAAGGCAAGTTGCCGTACATGTTGATGCGTTCAAACAGTCGTCTGTTTCCAACATACACCTGTTTCCCGTTGACATGTGCTGTTACCCCTTCGCCTTTCAAAACTGTGTGCAAGGAAACATCCGCATGCCTGGGAATTGACACTCCCTCCTTTCGAGCTGCCCTCACCAAGGTTGCCGACAATGGATGACTGGAAGGTGCCTCCATGATAGCTAACAGTTCCAGCATTTCTCTGCGAGAGCGTGCAGTCCCAATATCTGTCAGATTGTCGACATGGAACTGACCGTGGGTGAGGGTACCTGTCTTATCAAAACAAACTACTTCGACTCCTCCGAGGGCTTCCAAATGAGCCCCGCCCTTGACAATGATTCCTCGTTGTGCAGTGTTTGCCAATCCGGCAGCATATGTGACGGGGGTGCTGATTGTCAGGGAACAAGGACAGGCAATCACAATGATAATGAGTCCATTCAGAGTCCAATAACGTCCAGTTTCAGGTCCAAAAATCCATGGGACGGTGCACATGACGCCTGCCATTAACACGACCAGTGGCGTGTAAGACTTTGCAAATTTGTCAATCATCTTTTCTGTCATGCTCCTGCAGCTTTGTGCATCCTCGACCACTTTGATCAATCGTGAGACTACGCTGTCTTCCACACTGGATGTTGTTTTGACTACCAGCTGAGTGTTTCCGACGTTGATAGTTCCACCAGAGACAGGGTCATCCACCCGTTTCAGTATGGGTTTGGATTCTCCCGTCAAACTGGATTCGTCGACAGTGGATCTTCCCTCGACTACTACTCCGTCGGCGGCAATTTTGTCACCAGTTCTGACGGACAATATGCTACCTACTGGCACTTGAGACGCCGGCATGATGGAAATTTCTTTGGTTGTCGGGTGAATGACGGAAGCATGGTCCGGGCGCAACTGTACAATGTTTTTCAAAGCCTTGCGCGCTTTGGATGTCGACCTGGCTTCCAGAAACTCTGACACCGAGAACAAGAACGCAACGGATGCGGCTTCGTCAAACTCTTGCAAGGCCAGGGCCCCCAGAGCCGCTGTGACCATCATGCAATTGGAATCGAACTGCCGTCTGCGAATTGTTCTCCATGCTTTCCTTGCCACTGGCGGCAATCCAAAGAACACGCTGAGTAATCCAAAGTATTCAAAGTATACGCTGTGTTCGCGTGCAGGGATATTTTGGTCAGTTAAGTTGAGACAAAATCCAGACTGCGAATATTTCCACCTGTCACTGGGTTCAAAACTTACAAAATTCCTCCTGCTACACTGAGCATGCTGAGGACCCAAAAGAGACCACTGAGAATGACATGGGATTTCAGTGTGGAGGTTGTGTCCAGGTCGTCTTCCATCATCCCCCCATCGTTCCCGCCATGGTAGAGATCATCGCCAGTTACTGGCAAAATTAACCCCGCTTCCATTCCATCGACCGCTACTGTTGCCATTAATCCGTGATGCTCCAGTAATTTGGGGATTTCGTGAATGGGGAGTAGATTTGGATTGTGTTCGACTTTGATGGTGTGAGATGGGACATGTGCAAAGAATGCTCTCACTTGAGCTCGAATGTAATTTTGTCGAAAAATGGTTTGAAGAGTGGGAATATTGTCGTGCTGCAAATGTGACACCATGAGAGTGGATTCGACATATTCAGATCTATTGTTGTTGTTGTTGGTTGCACCGTTACTGGTGGTGCTCTGTTGCTCTGTCCGCAAAATTTGCAGCGTATATCCATGTACAAGTGTAGGAATAGAGATGGCCTTGAGTTGATTGGAGTCATGTTCCACCACTACTAGTCCATCAATTGCGTCAATATCAATAGCGTGAATCCCAGAAGCATTGTCGAGTTGTTGTCGTATCGAATGAACATCACTCTCCTCGAGAATCTGTCCTTGAATCTGTAAAGTGGTAACGGAACGTGATTCATTGGCAGCATCGGTAAATGCAGGATTGACGGTAGTTTTGACATGAGCTCCACCATCCTTGACAATATTGGAAGGAAATCCTTCTTTGGTCAACCGATCAGCAATGTCCTGTGCTTCAATGACAAGGGCGTCATGTTGGACATACACCATTTTGGTGGTAATGTTGATTTGCAAAGTTTCCACACCAACAAGTGGTTTGACGATTTTTCTGATAACGGGTATCTCCATAGCACAACAGATTCCACCCACGAGGAATTGCGATCGGACGACTTGTTGTTGACTGTGATCGGATTGATCCATTCTTCCTTCGACGTCTAGCTGGGCTTGGTAGTCACTGTCTTGTTCTACGACATCACTACTGTATCCAACTCGCTTCAAGGCAGCCACTAATTGAGATTGGGAGGTCTGGAGGGTATGCGAAATGACTACTTGATTCTGCTTGAAAGTCGAATTGTTGTTGTTGTTGTTGTTGTTCGCGTCGTGAATGGCAACAGATTCCACTCCAGCCAACGGCTGCAGCAAGGATTGAATCAACAAGAAATGGGCATGTAGCGACGCCGACGAGTTGGCTGGAAAGCCCGTAATTTGTAGTCTGGTTTGATGTGTTGCCGAAGAATCGACATCGCCTTCGTCACTGCCATCGTCATCTTTCACAGCTTGTGGCTGCGTCAAGTAGTCGTCCAAATTGTCGCTCGTTGCTTCTTCGCTGCCCGATGCTGGCTGACACGTGGTACAAGAACCACAAAACATAAAATCGGGATGATAGGCGGCGGAAGTGGTGGCGGCGGAGGAACCCGTTGTGGCCGGCCCCATTAGAAAGGGCGGAAGAGGAGGTGGATTCATTTTCTTCTGTTTGGTGGCATTACTATTAGCCGAGGGCGAATCGGCGCTGTTTGTCAGAGCCGTTGTTGGCTGAGCTTCAATTCCGCTGCCGGACACATCATCGCTGGAAGACTTGTCGTGAGGAGGCATCATTGCATGTCCACTGCCGTACAAGACTAAGAACTAAAACTAAATGAAGGGTGGAAGAATCTGCCAAAAAGTCCTTCAAAGTCCTGTGGAACCAAACAAGTCTCTTGCGCTTCGTCGATTCCCTCTTGTTCTGTTGACTTGTGGTAGGCCCACCGACTCTGCGTCTTGACGTTGCTTTGGCAGGATCTGGTGAACGCTGACTTGCTTCACGAATAGCAAAAATGCTGGGTCCATGCGAGAACAGTGTGGCCCAGGAGTGCCGTTGGGTCTTCGCCGTTCCGCCACATCCAGTGGCAACGTTAGTCGCGTCAGTACCGTTATCAAAAGTCGTTTAGAAACCATAAAAAGTAGCGAATGTCCTTCGACTTTCGCAACAGGCTGTTAAACATTGTATTGAAGTTGTGAAAGCGGCATGGAAAGTCGCAAAAATATGATCAAGCTGAGGTCGCGTACGACTTCAATCGTGAAAGTCGCGCGACGTCACTGGGCGAAATCGCAACTTCTTGGAGTTCCAATCGAATCGAATCGAATCGAATCGAATCGATTTCAATTGAATCTTTACGTGACTTCCACCAAAAGTCGTTCCAGTTTATGACGTCAGCTTCATTTTTTCTACATGTACAAGATCCGTTCATTCTTCCGTTCTTTGTCACAGAGCTTCCCACCTTGGACCTTGGACTACACAATGGCCAATGGACGTGTATACCCACCCAACAATGCAATATGATGCCTCGTTTGGCAACTAGAAGGCTCCACATTGCAGCCAGAGGACGCCACCTTGTAGCAGCATCAGCTAGGGTGGGCGCTGCTACGATTGGTGCTGCTACGATTGGTAGTGGCAAGAATCCCAGTTGGATCCAACACTATTGGATCCAATCGGCAAACCATCATGGCCACGCACGATCGTTTGCATCCACCTCCATACCCCAGCAAGACGACCTGGATGACTTGTGTCGAAAACACATGGATCTGCCAGCACAGGAATTTGCCATGGGATGCAGCTTTCTCCATCAAGTCGCGTTGGGAATAAACCCGTCCGAATTGGACAAGCTGTTACGAGTTCGACCCAGTCTCGTCAATTTTCGAGATTACGATCGGAGAACACCGCTGCACATTGCAGCGTCGGAAGGACACTTGGAAATTTGTCAGTTCTTGGTAGAGAAAGGAGCTCGAATCAATAGAAGTGACCGATGGGGAGGTTAGTCAAAGAATTCATCATCTGATCTGTCGGACGGTTTGGCCGACCTTCATTCATTTGAAATCTCACAATAATGCAATGGTCGCTTGCACAATTTTCACTCTTATCACAATTCCTTATGATCATTCGTTATGATCATTCTTATTGCAGGAAGTCCATTGGATGATTCCCACCGTCAGAGACATGGAGACGTCATAAAGTTTCTCAAAGAACACGGTGCCACCTTTGGAAGTCCCTCGCAAGCCAACAACTTTATTACGGCAGCATCAGAAGGGGACTACGAAGAAGTGAAAGCCTTGCTGGAATTTGGAAACATGGACATCAACCATGGAGATTACGATCGTCGCACTGCTTTGCATTTGGCAGCCGGCGAAGGTCGTGCTCACGTGGTACGGTTGTTGTGCGAAGCGGGGGCCGATGTCAATGTCAAGGATCGATGGGGGAATCAACCTCTCGATGATGCCATGGCCTCCAATAACCAGACCTGCATTGCAATGTTGGAAAAGTTTGGTGGAACGCAAGGGTCCAATGCGTCCTCCGACGTTATGGGCGAAGAAGCGTTGCTGGATTTGATCCACACCTACGGCAAAGTGAGAGACGGAGTCTTGTCCATGGATTGGCATGACGTGAAGGAATTGCTCGAAGGAGTTGGCGAAGACCACACTGATGAAGTGGTACAAAAGCTCTTTGAGGTGGCAGATGTGAACGGGACGGGCATTATCGACACCGAAGCCTTCATGACACACAGTGACACCTTTTTGGGTGGGAGACCTGCCCGCATCATTCTGGTGGTTGGCGGCCCTGGTTCGGGCAAGGGAGTGTTGTGCGAACGACTCGTCAAGGAGTGCGGTGTAGTGCATCTTTCTTCAGGGGAGCTATTAAGAGATGAGGTTACCCGGGGCACGGAACTGGGCAAACAGGTAGAGGAAATCATGAAGAGCGGAGGCTTAGTGAGTAGTGCCATCATGGTTACGCTGATGCAGAAGCGTATGAAAGATCACCCTGGGAAACGGATTCTGCTGGATGGCTTTCCTCGCTCCCAAGAAAATGCCGAAGATCTCGTCACTCTTTGTGGCAAGCCAGAATTGGCGCTTCACTTGACCTGTGACGATACGGTTTTACTGGAACGCGTCATGAAACGAGGTCAAAGCGGAGAACGAGCAGACGACAACTTTGATACCGCGATTGAGCGAGTCCGAACCTATCACAAATATCATCATCTCACGTTGGAATTTTTGAGGCAAGAAAATGTGCCCATTGTCTTTCTGGATTGCTCTGCAACACCAGACGGAGTTTGGGAGCAGCTCACGTCCATTGGACGATTGATGCGCTCGGCAGTGAAGCTACCCCTAGGAGGAACCAATGGCAATGCGAATTCCTCCTCCCAGGAGTATTCCTCCAGTTTTGAGATTCCTTGAGAGATTTTGAGGTTCCATCCATAAGAGATCATGTGGAGGAGGTTGTGGCTGTTAGCTTTGTAGCAATGGCACGCATTTTTGTTGCAATTTTGGAACAGTTTTAAATTTTTGAGATCGAAAACTCTACGAAATGAATAGACGAGGATCTGTTTATTCATTACTAATTACTAGTGCTATCATAATCATAATCGTAAATGCATTCCTCAACGATCGTTTGCCCGTCCTTGGAAAACTGGACGCCTTCCAACTTCAACAGTGCAATTTTTCTTTCAATTTTGGTTCCGCTCGTCATACCCCCAAATCCTCCAATGGTTCGGTCCGTCTTTACCACTCGATGACACGGGATCTCGGGTGCAAATGGATTATGTTTCAAAGCTTGTCCGATGGCTTGACTGGAATTGCATCCAATGTGGCGGGAGAGGGATTTGTAGGTAGTCACTTTTCCTTCGGGGACTTTACAGAGTGCACTGAGGACCTGGGCACGAAAGGGCGTTACCTTTTGCCTCTGCGTAGAGCTAAGGCCGCTCAATGTTACTGGCTTTGTCACCTTCGGCATGGTCAAGAATAATGAAAGCACGGACCCTGGATGTTGACTGATAGATTCGAAGAGGAACAAAAATGAAGCCTCGAGATCGACTCGAGACGAAGATTTGGGTTTGCACCAAAATTGATGCCGTGATGGGTCCCGTAAGACTCTTCAGAGCCAGCCAGGCAAAGAATTCGTCCTGAGCTCTCGTCTGCAGCCACCATGGCGGTCGGTCAGACACAACTGGTGGGTATCTTGCGCCGCAGTCATTATTTGTCACCTCCAAGCCGACAAACCCAAAGCCGTGAAAATCCTCGAAGCACAGCAACTTGATCAATCCAGAGCTATCCATTATCTAGGTAGCCGAAGCTGCTGCCCACAACTCGTTCATAGAAGAGGCGAATCAAAGACAGCGATCGTCTGGCAGCACACAGTCGAGTCAAGCTTTTGATACCGCGACTGAGGGAGAGCACCTGGCAAGATCCATAAAACGAAGACAAGAGACAAGAAAAAGTGAATTGAACCATGGGAGGCTATCTTTCTGTTCAGTTGGGAACTGTGTGGGCCAAGCTAGCTGGCAAGAAGGACTATCGTATTCTGATGCTGGGTCTGGATGCGGCGGGCAAGACGACGTTGCTGTACAAACTCAAGCTAGGCGAAGTGCAAAACACAATTCCCACAATTGGTTTTAACGTGGAGCAAGTCGAGTATTGTAACATTTCATTCACCGTGTGGGATGTGGGTGGTCAAGACAAGTTGCGTATGCTTTGGAGACACTACTACAATGGGGTGGAGGGGCTCATTTTTGTGGTAGATTCCAACGACATTCAACGTATCGATCTGGCCAAGGACGAATTGACTCGATTATTGGCAGCGGATGAACTCTTGAATTGCACCCTGCTTGTCTTTGCCAACAAGCAGGATCTGCCCAAGGCATTGGATGCCCAAACCTTGTCAGGAAGACTGGGGTTGTCAGCATTGTCCAATGTCTGGTATATCCAGCCTTGTTGCGCCTCGGATGGTACCGGTTTGTACGAAGGATTGGATTGGTTGTCCAGTGCTCTGGCGAAACGATAAAGCGACAACCAACACTGAAGCAGCTGACTAGCATAATATGGATGCCTTTGTTGTCGTTTTCGAGACAAAAACAACGGCATCATAATTCAACCCTCCCCTCGCGCTATGCGGTCCCATCTCGATCTTCGTCGTCGTTACATTTTATCCCCTTACACATCTTTGATTATAATAAACTGGTAAAATTGTTGTTTGTTTAAAAAGGGGGGAAACTTGCCAAGGTGGCTGGAGCCGCAGAAGCCACGAGATGACAAATTATTATCATGTGGTTATTTCTGTGAAGAGGTCAAATCAATTTTGGATCTATTTTAGATTAAGGATGTTGCAGGTAACTGTGGATCATGGAGGCAAGGAACTTCACGGGGCGTCCATCGCCATAAAACAGCGCCATGTTCTTTCTCAACGGTGTGACTGTATTCGTTCGTGGAAAGTGAAACCTTCTTGTCCTGTCGCGTTCATTATCAAGCAAGTTGGTCACCGGCCCGGCTGCGCCTCGGCACACCCGAGTTCCAGTCAACAAGTTCTGTTTCACTGATGGATTCTCCGGGGAACCCACTACCAATAGACTTCCTTGGGAACGCAGACTCTCTGCTAGGGGCTACATGCTCTGGAACAAGCCCCACGAAGCATCTACCAGTGCCCTGAACCTGAAATCAGAATCAAGCCTCGACCAGAGCCTTGCCCCCTCGAACTTTCTTGGGCTGTCTCTGAAACCCATTCTCGATCTTTCTCTCGTGCAGAGTTCGGAGCCTACGATATTCTTCACAGGCAGAAAGAGCCTCGGGAGATATTCCACTACCCTTTCTCTTAGAGATAAACATTTGACCTCCCTTTTTTCGAGTTGTGGTCCCAATAAAGTGTACCTGAAAGTCTTCTCCTCCATCCGGTCTTTGCAAGAGTACGTCGACAATCTCGGGCCAAATCCTCGGCGTCACTTCTGTTAGAATGAACACGGTATCCATTCTAGCTTCATCAAACAGGTCGGCGAAGAACACAAATTCACTCTCACGGAGCCCCTTGGCATTCTCAGCTATACAATACTGACAGACAAAGACATCCGTGGAAGCTATGGTAGGCAGGAGAGCCTCTTGGTTGGAGGCATCAGTGAGAGGTTTCGTAATGTCGCATGTACCACCCCAATGAAGAGATGATTGTTCGTCGTTCACCAATGCATGGTTGGTGGCAACATTCATGGCTTTGACAAGATCTTCCCATCCTTTCTCATAATCGAACACTGTGCCCTCGATGCGCGTGCTCCCGCGACCACAAGTTGAAAAGGTATCTGCCAGTAGCACACCCACAAAGTCATAACCAGGGCCACCACCGATAGATACCATGCGACAGATATTTTCATTTCTTCCAGTTTCAACAGATCGTTCGGGTCGATACAGGTTGCGTATAAAGTCATCACTGGTGGACCTAGGACCTGAGGATAAGGACAGCTGATTGTAGTTGTCAAAGAGTAGATGCGCCAAAAGCCTAGCTCGACAAAAGAACTCCAATGCATAGCCTGATCTTGATCCTGGGTCTTGAAATGAAGGCATTTCTCCAGTATCAGCGGCTGCTCCCAGATTGAAGAACAATTCTCCAAAACCTTGCGGATCAGGTACATGAGGCAAATTCTGTGACAAATGGTAGCGACTGGCGTCCAATGACCGGGCACACCAATCTCTCCAGCTTGAGGTGTACTTCAGCGATCCAGGCTTTCGAAGAGCATTCAAGTTTGCCAAATCTTGAAGATCCTGGGCCGACGAGATGTCCTCGACCAAAATGCGATCGTTTCTTTCAATATGTTTGGATCCACGGCGGGCATTGCATGGCTGTGGTTGTTGGAGGGCTAGTACAGAAAGGCTTCGTACTGCCATAGCCGGAAATCCCACTAGCAGGACTCTTCCAATTTTGCTCATTTTCAAGCTACACCTCCACATTGCGACCTCACTGAACAGATCTTTACCCACAAATTATGAAGCTGTTTGATGTTTGATGTCTGTGCATCAGAGCAGTTTGTCGACAGATGATGGACATCCAAAGAGGAGGTGGAAGCAACATTTGAGTCACGACTGACTCTGTAAGAGTTAGTCCCAGATGGTACGGTATGCAACCCAGCCGAGCTGTGATGGTAATCTCTGACCCGGGGTGAGGCTTCTGGACCTTCTCCTAAGGGCCCTAACAGTACTGTACATACATGTACTTCACCCTCGAGCCAGCTCTGGCTAATAGTCTACCGTAGGTTCCCCGAGATGAACATGGCGCACGAAACAGCAACATTTGAGCTCCGGTACCAGTACGACGATTACGTTATTATTCGAATGAAGAGCTGCTCTCCAGAAGAACGAGTTGGCCATCTAGAAATCCTAAAATGGGCTCATAGAAAGGGCGTCGCGGGATACTGTAGACTTAACACGGTCAGCCGAGAAGCTGCAAAAACGAATGGCTTTTCAGACTGTGGGACCGGGCCTCACTACCAGTAGCTTGAGCGGATCCCCCGGGGAAGCTCTGCTACTAGCAGTAGAAGCGATGGGTTTCTCCTCGCTGAATTGACTCACACAAGGACATGTTTCTTTCCCCCCTCCGTATCGATAGTGTTACTGGCGTTGGGTTGCTCGTACGGTTCAGTGCTTACAGAGACCTAATAGTCTAGCCAGTAGACTCGAACAGACACGACTTTTGGTTGAAAAATAAATCATATTAGCTAGGATTGGGGCGAGTACGAGTGTCGACTGCAGACCTAGCTAGCACTCGGCCACATATTGAAATACGTGATTCGGAGCATGCAGAAGCACCAAGAAAAGGAACGATTCAATCGAATGCCTTTTTGGTGCAGCTGCCACTAGTGCATGTAGCACGAAAGTCACAGTTGCACTTTGGCACCATCTCTTTGGACGCTGAGCATGATTGCATCTACGACCTGCTGATTGGTGGACGAAATCTCTGCCCATTTCCGTGCTTCTATTATTGCTGGATTTTTGTCATCTTTGTCCCAGCCCTCTGACGCGCTATTTTTGTCAATCGACTTGGAGAGCCGAGCAAAGGTTTTCCACAGGAGTACTTCCTGGACTGGACCGTCCGGAAACGTCTCCACCTTACAAGGATGTTCTGTGATCAAATCGTATTTGGTCAAGGACATGGATTGGACTTGATACTGAAGAGGAGCCTTTTTTGGCAGAACCCAATCGTCTATGAATGCCCATCCTTTTGTCCCGACGACATGAACATATTGTCGGAATTGAGATGTAAATGCGGAATGAAAGGCCAATATCACCTTATTTTGGAACTTGATGAGGCAGGTAACATCGATCGGCACCCCTTCGTCGTTGAGTTGATAATCTGTGACTTGCACAGATGCTACCGACGCCATGTCCGTGACTAGCAGGGCCATGCGGATGACATACCATCCAAGATCTCCAACACATCCCAGAGGATCGCCATCTTTTTTGACTCGAATGTTTCCTCGATGAAAGTCGTCATCGCCACAAAAGGAAAAACCGGCTTCGATGCGAGTGATTGTTCCTATTTGAGAGGTGTCTTGACAATCCTGGACAAACTTGCTGGTTCTTGGATGATGCACAAACATGGTTCCATCGAGCAAAAATTTGTTGTGTTTATACGCCACGGTCAGCATTTCTTGGTACTCCTGGAGTGAGAGAGCGGCTGGCTTTTCCAATAGCACGTGCTTTCCTGCTTGGAGGGCTTTGATGGCCCATTCCTTGTGAAATGCCGTGGGCAGTGGAATGTAGATAGCCTGGACCATCTCGCAATGAACCAATTCTTCATAACTCAAACAAATGGGTGCGGCCGTGCTTGTGAACATTTCCTGGACAAAGGCTTGCGCCTTCTCCGGACTTCGCGATGCTACCGCCTTAACAGAACATCCGGATTCTTTGTGCAGAATTGCGATAGTATTCTTCTTGGCAATACCGGCACAGCCAAGGATTCCTACCCTGAGGCCCGTCATCTTTGGTGTCTATTATTATTTCATTGGTATTGATAGAGGGGTGTGAAATGGAAAGATAGTGTGGCCAGAAGCAGAAGCCAGAAGAGAAAAGCATTGGAAAATTTGGACAAAAGATCCAAAAGATCCGTGTCGCACCGGCAGTCATGGCAACAAAAATGAGCCTTCGCCATTCGCCATGCACTCGCACAGAAGTCAGGAGTTCACCTGACCATGAGAGCGACCTCAACAACTGATGATGATACTGTCTCCTGGCAACGAAAGAACTCGATTGTAGATATTCCTCAAGGATCTGTCGACTTGGTGCAAGACTACCATGAGTTCCTGTCGCAGCAGGTGAAAGAGCAAGATGCCAGCAAACCGAGTCATGACAAAGTCTTACAAAGGACGCGAAGAGTGGCGGCTGCTGCAGCGACCAATGATTTTGGAGCGGCCGAATATCGCTGTCTCGAGACGGGAGGATTTCTTCTTCCGACCGTGTCTTTTCATCCCTCTTACAAGTCGCTCTTGGCTTGGAGAAATAATTCTCTCGAGCCATCCGACTTTTGTGTTCTGGATTTGGGCTGTGGCTTGGCAGCCGATGGACGCCGCATGCTCTTGGATGGTTTTGCGACTCACTTGGTGGCAGTCGATCGATCGGAGCTGTATCTCAAGCTGGGGTGTGAAATGTTTGGGGAAGAACCAGACAGAGTTGTGACAACAGTAGCACGCTTCAAAGAAGACCAAGAGAAAGGATCACTTTTGGGATATCCCATGGTCACATTCCTGGCGGCTGATGTCTCTGCGGGGAAGCAGGCTGAGGAAGATGATGATGACATAATAAAGCCAATCCAGTTGGCTCTTCAAAGACAAAAGCAACAGCAACAAAAAGACCAAGAAATCATTATTAATGCGCAGCAACAGAAGATGGGTTCTTTGAATATGAGCAATAGTGCGGCCCTCCCTCTGTTCAACGCCGTGTATGCCGGCAAGTTCCTGCATTGCCTAGAAACCAAAGAGAATTTGCGCATTGTACTACGGAGAGTTTGGAAGCTTTTGTCGGACCAACAGGGGTGTTTGTTTGGCGTGTACGGAAGAAACTATCGACCTCAGTTTGAGTGTGCTTCCAAAGAGGCTTTTGAAAAAGCATTGGTTCAGGAGGGATTTTCACCCTCTTTGATTGAGGAGGAAGCAGGTGGGGCAACTTGGTTCTGTGCCTTCAAAAAAAACATTGATGACAAAAGTGCAGAAACTATAGTGATGCCTACGGAACGGGACAAATGAAATGACAGGAATAAATGTCGTTGCAAACAAGACTGCGTGACCCACCTCTGACTGTAACAATGGGCGGTTGCAATGGTTGAATGGAATCCACAATTTTTGGTCGGGAAGCAGGGTTGCGGGGAAGCCTAACAAAGACCAAAACATTGAAAATGGAACTCCGTTCATGACACCTAGAGACCTGAACTACGTGTAGGTTGCCTCTTGCAGGAAGCAAATCAAGGATATTTCCAAGAGAATTACATGTTACAACAAAAGGAGGGCCGCGGCCAAGATTACGGCGCCAAGATGACATACTGACAGGACGCTACTGCTGGATGATTCGTTTGACTGAGTGCTGGCTGCGGTATCACTCTCCAAAGAGGTTGCACTTTCACCAGAAGATGTGCCTTGGCCATCTGGGGGAGAAGAACAGCTTATTTGATAGCCAAGGTTTTTCGATTCGTTGTACACCATGCCATCAAGTGAAGCGTTTCCTACCAGGGTTCCAGGTCGGTACGTTCCTTTCCCCCAGAGCCCATCCTTACTAGGACTAGGACTGTCCGCCACGAATCCTCCAATATAAATGTCGTAGGTTTCTCCGATGACGAGCTCACGCGACGAAAAGACCAAAGATTGGAACTCTTTAGCGGGGAGGAATGAAAACATGACCATGCCACTCCGAGGGTTTTCCATGTGAATCATGGTCCCCGCTGCTTGAACCGAATCGAAAATGTATCGGATGGACAGTTGAGTGGATGCAGCGCTGTTGGGTGATTGCGCCATTTCAGCACTTCCAACTGCCAGCAAAAACCCACCCGATACCTTGAGTACCCCCTCCGTGTCCAGGGCGCCACTCGTTGATTCAGTAGGTCCATTTACAATGAGCGTTCCGCCCGTAATGTTGATGTGCCCATTGGAGTCAATTCCGTCTCCGTCATTACCAGAATCAATGTAGACATAGCCGCCGTTGATGGACAATAGCGAGTCCTCGGAGACATTGCAGGAAGGCCGACCCCGGCCAACGATAGGACCTCCTGCATCTGGAAGATCTGAAGCAACATTGTTTCCTCCGGCAGCATTGATCCCATCGTTGCTCGCCAGAATGCGGATGTTGCCACCGTTAATTGTCACATAAGGAGCCGCCAGGCCCTCATAGGATTGACTAATTTTGACCAGACCATCGTTGATAATCAAAGATGAATCGCCTCGTACAGCACCATCGCCGGATGCCAAGAGAAGATGGCCACCATTGATCGTCACGTCCTCATCAGCATGAATCGCATCATCTGTCGAGTCGATTTGGATGGTCCCATCCTCCACGACAATATTGACTTGTGCTTTGATACCTTTGGCGGAATCTCTGCTTTCCCCTCCTCCTGTAGTTGCTATGGTAATGTTTCCATCTAAAATGGTGACACTACTAGCAGCTTGGATCCCATCGAAAGTCGCAGTAATGTTGAGAATTCCACCTTGGATTTCCACAAATCCTTTGTCTGCATCATCCTCCTTGCTGGATTGCAAGCCGTCCCCACCAGCAACTACTTCAGTGGAAGATCCATCCTGAATTAGAATGGAGTCTTTTCCCTTCATTCCATCGTTTACCGCATGAATCACAATGTTGCCTCCTTTGATCTTGAGATCGTCGTTAGAAACAATACCATGATTATAGTTGGCCTGAACGAGTAAGGTGCCACTACCGTCAATATCCAGGTCGTCTTTGCTATAAATGGCAGCATTGGCTTCGTCTTGCGTGTCATGAAATTCTCGATCGGAGATAACGTTATCCGTAGCATCAACCAGAAAGATAGTGGTCTTGTCGGCACTGAGTACAAAGATGGGAGCACTTTGGGAGGACGTAATGTTGGCCCCGTTGAGGGCCAAGACAACTTTATCGTCCTTGCCCGCATCGACCCTAATCTGGCCGTCTTCCAACACTCCGCTGATGCTGAAGATACCTGCTGCGAAGATGGTAATAGTGCTACCAACGGCAGATGCACCGTATCCATCAATTTGGACCGAGTCTCCCTCGAGGCGTACATAGGCCGTCGGAACATTTGTTGTCTCATCCAATGCTCTTCCCTTCTGGGAACCACTTCTCACTGATTGGTGATCATCATTGTGCAGTGCCGAGATCCATGTCGGAATCAACAACAGAGCCCACGCCAAGGCGGTACCGGTAGCAATCCCTCTCGTCATGGTTTCTTTGCTTCCTCGCTACCTAATTGTCATTGACTGACTCTCTTCAGTTCGTTTGTGGTGATACCCAGCATGTGGTACCACCTGGAGTAGCTGCTCTGCGGCTTTGATATCATTGGCACTGTGGCGCACCTCGCACCTCGACCTCTAGCTGGCCAGACCCAGAAATCAGATCGAATCGAATCGAATCATTCGATTCATCATTCAGTCAATCAGTCAATCGAATCGAATAGAACAAGTAGCCAGAGGCTGATGCCCTCAACTGTCAAAAAGAGATTTGACTCTTTTAAAAGGACGTTTAATGACAACCCGTTGAAGGCCAGACAAGTAGTAACGCCGACTTCCTAAAATAGAATCTTTTTCGGAGCTCGTACCTCGAACCCACATTATGTGGAATACGGAATGTCTGGCTCTTCTCACGTGAAATTCCCTTGCACTACGCTAAAAGCTAGTGTAAAGATCTTTCGAGTGTTTTGTGTTTGAGAGAATGAAAGTTATGAGAGAGATTAGAAAGCTATGAAAACTAATCAACGAGAGAGATCATCATCAAGGGATCATAGATCTGGTCTCCCGCGGGAGACTATAAAGTGTGATAGAGTAGGTTGCGGTAGTAATCCTACGTATCTCCACGATCCTAAAACGGAACGCGTGGAAGATTTGTCTAGCATGGATCTAGTAGCGTGGAAGTACTCCACGCTGGCTAAATATCTAGAGCGATGTTTCGTCATCAACCTAGTATGACTAGAGCGGTCATTGAGAACCCTGTCTCAAATGACTATTCACGAGAGACTCAGTCATGAGTCAAACTCAGACCCTATCTAGGATCGAGTCGCGAATAAGGCTAAGAGCCGTGTATTGCATTCGCCCCCTGACAAGAGTCACAGAAGGCGCGACAGCAGTCGGACAAGGAGAACATATGATTTAAAGTGCGGGGCACTCTCATGAGATTTGGATGTAGACATGTGCGTCGCACGATGGCAATCCTCAATAACTTCTTGAAAGGATCAGGGTAGATCCACAAGAGATGAGGATGGCCACAGGGCCTCCTCTGCTTACAGAGTTTCCAGCTCCTGGAGCTGGTACCGATGTTATTCTATCACGATGCTGGGCAGCCTAGGCGATAAAATGTGGTGTTGGATCCATGGATCAACGTGTTGAGTGTGAGAATCACAATCTTTGTCGCCTTATGTTACTGGTACCCACATGGTATGTGGAACAACAAAGATATAGAAAATCTTGGTTGTACTGGGAGACACAGGCCATACATATGGAACCAGGGGAGCCACAATGGTCCCATATGAAGGTTTTGACCACTGTATTACCCCAGATGGCCATGAGGCGAGCATCTACTCAATCATGTGACCTCAGGAGGATCCAGGAGCCTCAGTGTGGCTAGATGCTCAAATCCTGCATAACACCCAATTATTTTGGATGCATAGCTTTTTGCTCATAGTCCTAGAATTGAATGTATGAATTTGAATACCATCTCCATAGATCCTGTAGCTCCCTTGTTCCTTTTTGCAAGTAGATACCTTTCACTGTTGAGGCTGAGCAGTGGATTGAGAGGTAAGCTGATAGCTTTCG